GATGTGCACTAAATTATAGCTGGATGCAATATATATGTTTCAGTGTGTCTTTAAGGAAGAAGCTTTGAGTTCCTTATTGATTTGTGCTTCTTTTCAAAGTAAGTGAAACTGAGAAGTAGAGGCTTCAGATTGAAAGGCTATCCCATGACCTCCATTTAGTTATATTTAAAGGTCAAAGCAGAATGACTTGTGTTGTGTGTGTGTGTGTGTGTGTGTGTGTGTGTGTGTGTGTGTGTGTGTGTGTGTGTGTGTGTGTGTGTGTGTGTGTGTGTGTGTGTGTGTGTGTGTGTGTGTGTGTGTGTGTGTGTGTGTGTGTGTGTGTGTGTGTGTGTGTGTGTGTGTGTGCAGAAGCACCCTTTATTGTAAAACTCAAAGTCAGCTCACCAGAACAGAAAAGTTGTTTTGGGCATGTTCTAGGGGCGTCCCATTAGATGAACGATTTGTTCCCCAGAGGGAAAGACTTTCAGCTTTATAATTGACCAGCGGGCCAGGTGTAATTTTGTCCTGCAAAGGCTTCTGGAATACCTTAGAAACCAGACATGGACTTCTCTGTGTGAGTGAAGAAGTACAATGTTAGGACATTTATTTATTTTCTGCACCGCCTTTATCTTGTTCAGAGTCGTAGAGGGGCTTCAAACTGAGCAGATCACCAGTCCATCCATCACACTAACACATCCCTTCCGTCAGGTTAGAATCATTAGTTGCCCTAACATGAAGGTTCTGAGACTGTGGGAGGAAACTGGAGTAGCTGGAAAAATGCCAGACGGGCAGATAGTCAACATGCAAACTGCACACAGAAAGGCCTCTACTGAGATCCTAACAGGAGACCATGATTCTGTGAGGTGATGGTGCTAATTAACCATGCAGCCAAAGTCAAATTATTTCTGTCAGAATGATGACAATGCATTACTTAAAACAACACTGTTTAATGTTGATATCGGTTCCTGCTATATCCTGCACTCAAACAATATGAAGAGCTCCACTAAAAGTTGTCTCAAATCACCATCAGAGAGGGTTTACTACATTTCTGATTAGTTTAAACTAAAGCAGATTTGGCATCTTTGTTTTAAATCACTCATGTGCACAGATTTGAAAAAGCTTGAAGTAAAGAGAACAGTGTGAATCTAACTGATATTATTAGAAAGGTGCATCTAATGCTGCCAACTCTGCAGAGTGGTGAGTGGGAGCTGATCAGTGTTTAGCTGAGTCATTTCACATCTTTAGGGCCAAACATCTATAGCAGAGGTTCCCAAAGTCAGGGTCGGGACCCCTCTGTGGATCACCATTAACTATACGGAGGTTCTTAAAGGCGCACTTGGCAGTTTTGCTTGCTTTTAACACCCCGTAGTGTCTATTACTAATTGTCTTTGGTCAAACCGAAAGCAAAGCTTATCTCTTCGCTGTGTGCTCATCTTTTTAACACCTTAATCTAACAGCTGAAATGTCTCCCCAGCCTTTAATGGTGTCTACAGAAATGATTCATAACTAAACAAATATGCTGTGTTCATGATCTAAAACTTGCAGGAAACGTGCTAGAAGCAGACTGCAGCGCCAGGTATGTCAGCTCAAGTTTTCTTTAAGTCCAACAGGTGGCGGCCCGCCACTCTGGAGTTGCATTGGGGTATTCTGGCCACAGAGGGTGGTGGGGGTCTGAGTGACATTTCATTAACCCTGTAAAGTGTCATTTCCAGAAACACATACTGACTGAAGAAAAAAATAAAGCATAAAATATGAAAAATTTGCACATGTGGCAAGGTGGAGAAATGAGGGCCCGGGCGGGATTCGATCCCCAGACTCCGGGGTGAAAGTCACATGCACTAACCAGTCAGACAAAAGGACATGCTCGTGGCCAAGTAGCCAGGGCGCATGATCGATCGGGATACGGTGACAGGAGCTCACCTTGTCACACATAGTAAGGCTTTAAAGATGCTTTCTAGCAATCATAGTAAACTAAAAAAAATGTCTCTGAATCATTGTTTCTAGCAAAACTGTTACTAAACTATCATAAAGGGATATAAGTGAATAAGAGCAGAAGTGTTTTTCCTTATGCCCTGATTTATTTAGCTTTTAGGAAGTTTGTATTGTTAACTCAGAAATATCTGGCATCTTGACTATTTTGTGGGTCTGCAGCCGATCATTTTGGGCACCAGGTGATCTATTGTCTAGTTACATACAGCTGAGAGTTTTGTAGCAGATTTGGTTTCAGTTAGCTCATGTCTTGGACATTTCAGAACATCAATATGGAGCAACTAACTGCTGAATTGTAAAGTGCAACATACAGGCATGAATTCTTTTACTATTTTTTTTCCTAAGAAATAATATATCTTCAATTTATGTTCAAATATATCATAAATGGAAATGACTCTGTTTTATTAGTTGATGATTGTTGGTTTTATGAAGGTTACACACTGTGCTGGAGATAAATTAATCATGAGGACATCCAGTCTGAACATTCTGTCTGAGAGCATAAATGCATGCATTATAAACATGGGTTTTATGATGTGTCACTTTATTTGGGTTCACAAAGAACCAATGTCTGTAAATGATTTTATAAACAGAATCAACTATCTCCAAATTTATAACATTATGCAGTTACATAGTAAATAACTCACTATTTTGTTGCAAGACAAAACCTAATTAGAAGAGAAAGTACACAATTAAAAACACGGCTGATGGAGTTCATAACGATAATTGATTTCTTTTTGTTCCAAGATCATTTTCTGCTTGGAAATCTTGGTGCAAGCTCACATGTGCAGCACCCATATTAAAATAGTTGCAAACTGTGCACAACTCTTCAACCAACCAGGTTGCAACCAGGCCCTGTGACATCGATGTCCTCCGACCAGCAGGGCAATGTGTCACTGCACACTGCAGGATCTTCTCAGGATCATCTGGATGACAACAATAAAGGAGCTGCTCAGATCCAAACAGATCTGATCTGCCTGATCTGTGGATGTCTCCAAAAACAAACAAATCCGCCGTCAGAGCAGGACGCCTGTGTTCAGGCTCTAGAACCTGAATATTATTGGTCTAAATGGGTTTTATTGTTGTGGCTGATCTGAGCTCACTGCTGTAAACAGGAAATATTTAGAAGTTTGTATCAGAATGCTCTTCAGTAATGGTCAGCAGACTGGGATGACTGTGCACTCAAAGCTGTTATGACAGAAGAAAACAATTACTTTAGTGCTCTGTGAAGCAAAAGGGTCAGCCAAAGACCATGATGTCCCAGGCTCTTCCCTGAGACATACACCATCACGTGACCCCAAATGAAACAAAAATGACCTTTTTAACTTCTGAATAATGTAAAGCTTATACTCACATTAATTAAAACGAGTCTTCTGTCTAATCTCAATCCAGACGCTGTCTCATTGTGTCTGAAACTCACACACTTTCTTTGTGAAATAATATTGTAAACGTAGATTTATGATCTTAAAAGAAACCATTTAAATCAGCCACTCTCTCTTCTACTCTGCCCATTTCTCATTATGTGCCTGTCTGTCTCTTATGGCACACTCACTCTCAGCACATTATGAGATACTTAAGGGTGGATACCAGAAAGGAGTCGAGATATAAAAGAATCATGAGATTATAAGGGGAGCCAACAGCATTTAAATCCACCCCACTGTGAAGAGGGAGTGCATTTCCAAACAGGTGCATGAAATGGGTTGGATTATAATAAAAGCAAATAGCTAAAATCTAATATTACTCTTAAAACTCCAGGTAGAAATGAAATAAAGATCAACTCACAAAAAATGGGTTTTGCAGCAAATGCATTCTAATGTCACGCTAGAGTGTAGGTAGGTGTGGTAAATGTAGTGTGCAGCAGTGTGTGTGTGCGCGCGTGCGTGTGTGCGCGCGTGCGTGCGTGCGTGCGTGTGTGTGTGTGTGTGTGTGTGTGTGTGTGTGTGTGTGTGTGTGTGTGTCCAGGTCTACAACTGTTGAAGTGTGTAATTAAGACAATATCAGATCTTGTTAGGAGAGTAATCCCTACCACACACCCGCACAGAAAATGAAGACTTTGCCAGCTGCTACATGTGATTGCAGTCATGATCTCAGTGAGTTTAATATTTGATCTGCCTATATGCTCCGCTATGAGGCAACAATGGAGCTCAAATATGGAATTAACAGTAAGAGAGGAGCAGTGTCATGTAAAATCTGCCATGCTGCTGCTGTCGGTGTGTCTGAGCTGTCTGGATTTCATTAACAGAGCAGCAACACCACTTCTCCTGAATAAATGAGCCTTTCTGCACGGCTGCTGGAAAACAATCCAGTATCAGGGCATATTGATTCGACACTGAGATCTAATATTTCTAATGTTGCAAAAGCATTTTGGTCTTCTTCGCTGTCGGTGACAGTGGTGATATCTGATGGGTTTATACGCTGACATCCTACACAAGGCTGTCATCGGGATACAGACGTCTGCTGGCGAGCAGGAAGGTGTGTTTTTCAGAATGACTTTGTATTTACTGGTAATCATGTGAGAGCAGCCAGTAACAGAACCGACCCATCCCTCTCAACGTGAGCTGCGGCACACTTGGCATCATTTACATGACTAATTCATCATCTATATGCATCATTTGTCTTGATCATTTAAAATCGGGGCTTATGTGAAAGGGGTGAGGGTATTTTTTTCTGTAATTCCCTTGCTTCACTACGAGAGACAAAAAAATTGCTCTTTCATTCACATTAACTGAATCCGGCATCGTATAAAGGGCGTAGAAAATAGAAACGAGACGGCTTAAAGACATACTGAATAACTAATTCCACGCTTTAAATTCAAATTAACTGCAAAAAATGAGTCAAGAAGGGGTGGTGAATTGTGTCGATAAGGATATTGAAATAAATAATTGAGCGCTCATTCAAGTCTATCTCACGCAGTCGGTTGATCCGATGTCTACGCTGCTCTCGGTACTAACGTCCGGTTTACACCACGCTGCCGCGTACCCTGCCCGATTTCTCCCCACTCTTCGGCGGTGAAGCCTCCTAGCTATCGCGGCTACCTGTTAATCCCCGGCCCGGATGCAGCTCCACTTCCTCCGCCTGGGGCTCCGTTGCTCGGCTTGATGAGCTGTCCAGAGTCCGGTGGTGCTGAAATGGTAGCCGGAGCACCTGCTGCAGGGACGGCGGGGCCGGGCTGCCCCAGCTGTCCCTCCCCCTCCATGCTGGCCTCGTTCCCCATCGCTTCGGGATAGGTCTCGACGGGGAGAAACGGTGTTGTAGATTATTCTACAGCTGTGCTAAAAACTCAGATGAAACTCAGCGCCGTTTCCCTTCCGCCATCATCACCTACAATTCAGCATCCCGCACGGAGCACGCGCGCTGACGGAGAAGGTAAGAGGGTGCGCGCAGACGCAATGGGCGGTGACTCGTTGCCTGTGCGTGCGCGTTCACAGCGCTGAGTTATTTCAAGCCAAATTGGCTGTTGTATGGCAAGCCGATTTATCACGTTTCATGTGACTAAAACGAATACAAGATTTATTTGTAATACAGGGGCAATTACTTTACTTATTTCCGAAGATGTTATTACACTACTGTTCTCACCCATCAGTGCAAATGTGCAATCTGAAATCAACATTGCATTTAATTATTCAGGATAAACCCCCATTCCACATAACTGCATATGATTCTGAACCCCAAACAAACAAAACAATTAGCAAATGAATTAGGTTGCATTGTTATTGTCATTATTATTTGGAGTAGTAGTAATAGTAGTAGTAGTAGTATTACCAAATAATAAATGTTGTTACCATAGTAATCAAGTATTACAATAAGTGCAGTAAGTCTTACAGTATTATGATTTGTTAAAACACAATTCCAAATTCAATAATAATAACAGTGACATTATTAATAATTACACTTTAAAATCTAAATATACATTTTACATCTGAGGAACTTGATGAGTTGCATGATACTTTAACATAAAACAGATCTATTGTTTGAAATGTTGGCACACTGATTGTTAAAATCAATATAAATGCACAGGTGGAAATTTGGAGTACAAATGCTATGAAGCTGAAATTAGAAAATAACAAGCGCTCCCTGTAGGCTGGTTTGAGTTAAAGCCTCTCTCCCACCAATCAGGTTTGTGGCCTAAATAAAAAATATAAATACTAAAAAGATAATTGTTTCAGGTGTTCATTCAAACAAGTCGTACCTTTCTTCCTGCATACTCAAAATTTCACTTCTGAAATATGATTGTTGTAAAACACCATGATTGAGTGCACAGAACAGGAACTTTTATCACTGCATCCTGAGAGCAGACTCTGGTTTGAAATTACAAATGTGTCATATATTCTTCAAATAAAATATTAAAGTTGTTTATTAAAGCAACAGTGTGTATTTTTCCTGGCGATAGGGTGCAGTAGATACCTAAATCTTTGCAAGCAAGCAGTATTTTTGTGTTGGAGTAAAGGCTGATTTGTGCTTCTCCATCAGCTCCGCAAGGGACAGACATGCATAGATTGATGGAAGCGTTTTGCTCTCATACTTCTCCTTCTCCTGGGGAGTGTTGCAAAGCAATTCCCCGGCAGGACAACAGAGGGCGTAGCGCTGTTCTGTGGTATCCTGTCATTTATCCGGTCCAAGATAGTGTGTTTATATTGTGCTTTTTGTAAATAAGAGACTTTTTAACATGGACAAATTTGTCTCTCATTCTCCTCCACCTCTTCATGCACTCGCCACCTCTAAACCCACGTTTCCTGTCATTTCCGTCCACAAATAAACGCTTGCTGTGTATCTTTTCACTCATCCAGTCACAGGGGAAATAAACATTCATATTTTAGAGTTTTTACGCAAGGTTTTCTTCAAGCTTCTCCGTGTCTGCCGCGAGTTATTTTCAGCTTTCTTTATGTTTTTGAGGGCGCAATGGCGGCGGTGGAGACGGCAGCGGTGCCCTGACCAATCACAAGCTTGCGTTCTCCGTCTCGTTCAACGATGTTTAAAAAAAGGGTTCGACTCCATACATACTTGTGTGCCTGCCGGGGCCCTACGCAATGGCGTTGCGTGTCTCTGCACTGACGCAGCCAGAGAAGCATGAATCAGCTTTGAGACCTTACCAATGGATGCCCATTGGGGTGAAAATAAACTTTAGCAAAATAGCAAGCACATCAGACTCCCTTTAATCACTGGCAACAAGTGAGGAGGTAAATGTGTAAAACAACAACATTTAAGAATGGCAAAAGTTTTGTAACCGTTTGTTACAAATCAGTAAATGTGTTTTGTCCTCATGGGCTCCCGTAGAAGAAAACATGACATCTAACATGGCGTCGCCCAGAGACACTCACTTCACCTTCCAGAGTACACTCCCATGTATTTTAGACCTGAATTTTATGGTTACATGTTACAAAGCTGCCCATATTTTCCACAACTGGCATCATTTAATTCATTTTCAACAACATTTTGATGGATGTTTCCAGAAATTAATGGTAAAAACTACACATTGTCTCTTTAATAATTACATCTATATAATTAATGTTTTTTGTAAAAAAAACTATTTCAGGTATCCTTTATTTCTAATCTAATTAATGAGAATATAATTTTGACCCAGATTGCAACTATTGATTTCTAAAATTACAAAAAAGAAGCTTTTGATTATATGTTACAATGACTTTCCTGATAACCACTTCCTCTTCCTCTTTGCAGAACATTTTATTTCTGTTAGCACCTTCTTCGTATTTCACTGCTAAATACAGACTGCACATTCAAAGAGTTGAATATTTTTTCATTAACATATTAAATGGCATTTTTCATAGTCAGTTTGTGAGAAAAAGAAAACTCTCCCATGCAAAAAATGTCACAATTTCCTGCTGAATTTAGACTATCTCACAACAACCTAACTAGTTTTTAAGCATCCATCATTTTAGGCTATTTCCTTTTTCAAATCAGTGTAAAATCTTGATTTTCTTGCCTACTTGGACATTATGATCAATACAGGGAGTGCAGAATTAATAATAATAATAATAATAATAATAATAATAATAATAATAATAATAATAATAATGCGTTGAACTTATATAGCACTTTTCAAGACCCCCAAAGACGCTTTCACACACTCTCACTTTCACACACTGCTAGTGATGGTAAGCTACTTGTAGCCACAGCCGCCCTGGGGAGGTCTGACAGAGGCGAGGCTGCCATTTGGTGACGTCGGCCCCTCTGACCACCATTAACACAGGCAAGTTGGGTGAAGTGTCTTGCCCAAGGACACAACAGCAGGATACCCCTGGCGGGAGCTGGAATCAAACCCATGACCCTCCGATCATGAGGCAACCCGCTCTACCACCTGAGCTACTGCTGCCCCCAAATTAAGAAAGGCTGAAGGACGACCACCACTGAACAAAACACACAAGCTGAAACGTCAAGGCTGGGCCAAGAAATATCTCAAGACTGATTTTTCTAAGGTTTTATGGACGGAAGAAATGAGAGTGAGTCTTGATGGGCCAGATGGATGGGCCCGTGGCTGGATTGGTAAAGGGCAGAGAGCTCCAGTCCGACTCAGACGCCAGCAAGGTGGAGGTGGAGTACTGGTTTGGGCTGGTATCATCCTTTTCGGGTTGAGGATGGAGTCAAGCTCAACTCCCAGTTTCTGGGAAGACACCTTCTTCAAGCAGTGGTACAGGAAGAAGTCTGCATCCTTCAAGAAAAACATGATTTTCATGCAGGACAATGCTCCATCACACGCGTCCAAGTACTCCACAGCGTGGCTGGCAAGAAAGGGTATAAAAGAAGAAAAACTAATGACATGGCCTCCTTGTTCACCTGATCTGAACCCCATTGAGAACCTGTGGTCCATCATCAAATGTGAGATTTACAAGGAGGGAAAACAGTACACCTCTCTGAACCGTGTCTGGGAGGCTGTGGTTGCTGCTGCACGCAATGTTGATGGTGAACAGATCAAAACACGACAGAATCCATGGATGGCAGGCTTTTGAGTGTCCTTGCAAAGAAAGGTGGCTATACTGGTCGCTGATTTGTTTTTGTAATGTTTTTGAATGTCAGAAATGTCTATTTAGGAATGTGGAGATGTTATATTGGTTTCACTGGTAAAAATAAATAATTGAAATGGGTATATATTTGTTTTTTGTTAAGTTGCCTAATAATTATGCACAGTAATAGTCACCTGCACACACAGATATCCCCCTAAAATAGCTAAAACTAAAAACTACTTCAAAAAACATTCAGCTTTGATATTAATGAGTTTTTTGGGTTCATTGAGAACATGGTTGTTATTCAGTAATAAAATTATTACTCAAAAATACAACTTGCCTAATAATTCTGTACTCCCTGTACAAACTATTGACCAGATTTTACATAAAATAAGACAAATTAACTTTAAAGCCAAAAGTCTACATTTATTCTTGACAGATCATTGAGCAGAAAATGTTATAATTTAAAATATTCAAGTTACTCACATTATCTAGAACATATGCTGACATTAAAATATGAATTTAAAATGGCCTGATATGGCAAAGGGAAAAAATAAGTTTGATTAACAGCCAAAAATAGTGCTAAATTTACAGACATGATGGATGTTTCAACTGAGGAAACTTTTAGTACTTTGACTTATGAATATTTTATGAACCAAGTTTCATTATAAACAACTCTACTTCCTGCAGACAGCTTTGAAAGGGTCCCACTAGCCTGAGTGATCACTCTCCCTAGTGTACATCCAATGCCACTACAACAGTTACATAAAACCACTCCAGGTACAAATCTACATCTAAATCTTTTTCGCTGTAAAGTAAATTCCACAACAACTCATTTCACTGGAAGGATAAAAAGTCATAAATGCAGAAACATAGATCCGAATTTCATTAAGTTTATTTCAGAATGAAATAACAAGCACAATGAACATTTAAATTTAGTGTACATATTAACACACAAATATGTACAAAAACTACACAGCCGCCAACATTCAACTGGAAATTCTGTTTCTCTGAGATCCAAATGTGACACAAGAGCTTGTTTTTCCTTTGCAGGACCTCAATAAAGATATTTACAAGTAAAGAGCCTTTTATGAAAAAGCGGAACATTTTATGACTTTGAGATTAAAACTGTACATGTAAGGTATCATGATATTAAAATACTTAAAAGAGCAGAATAAATCCATGCAGAGTGTACTGAAGCTGAAGATGCGTGTAAGTTCAATATTTTTATTGGCACTGAGAGATGATTACTAGTTAGAGCTTTTAAATAAACTCCAGTCAATTACGATTACGAGACTAAAATATACAAAAGATCAGAGTAAAATTAACTTGTGGTCAATTTCATGAAGCAGAAGAACTTCCAGGAGTGCAGCAGCAACTTCCTGCACCTCTGCCACAACTGCTCGGCACGGACAGCTTCCTTACAGACGATTGTGATCACTGACGTTTGGCTTTGTACGGTCTGGAGCGTTTCCTTCGGTCGGGCTTCCTCTGTTTGTGCAAACGGCCGATGCTCACTCCCTGCCGACGACGCACAGAAATGTTTTGCTCTACGAGGCTGGCCAACATGCCTGCAGACGGTTAGAAAGAGGAATGGTGCAAAAATATATAAAACAATTGTGGAGGAAAGGAAAAATTGACTTGGTTTAAAAACTCAACTTGACATTTTTTGTTCATTCTGTTTCTAATTGGTGAGCTTCTTCACAGCTCAGTTGTTCAGGGCAGACCTCTTACCAAAATAGCCCCTTCAGAGTGAAGATGCAGAACAATCGGACACTAATGATTTACCGCTGAGACCTCAGAGAAATACATGCTGGAGTAAAACTCTGCTTCAGGTCAACGGCTGAGAGTAAAAGATGACCTCAAGTCTAAAAGGCAGAAAGTTAAGGATGAAATATGTACAGAGGGATTTAGGTCAAATACCACTTCAAATCATTTTGTTTCAAAACAAAATCAAATAATAATAGTCTGAGCCCACGGTCATGTCAGTAATTAGTTGAAACCTAGTTTAAAGAGTCACAGCATGAAAAAAGAAACTGAATTTGTTCACTCTGACCACAGTGTTCCCTGTCAAGTCTAAGAGTTGCCATTTAACCTGTAAAGCTGAAAAAGGTGTTCCTTTCATGGACTGACCAACGTCTTTGAGAAAGTAAAGTGGTCGGGTAACAAAATCCTGAGTGATTATGATTTAGTAAAATCAAATTGAAGAGCAACAGTTAAGCTTTGCAAGATTATCAGTCATTCACCCACATTCACACCCTAGTGGTGCTATAACACAGCAGATTTAAAAGCGTTCATTTTGGGGTGTTGGTACAATTCAACTCAAAGAATGGTTAATGTAACACTGAAAGTTATATGGTTGATATGGAATAGTGACATGAGAGTCAATCCCGAGTGTTAAAAAAAGAGTAGGGATGTGTAAAGGTGAAATTCTGATGATACAATACGTACCACCATACAGGGATCGATACAGTATATTGTGATACATTCAGCCAGATGATATTAGCAATTTTTTAGACTGAATTTATTGTAGGAAAATTCAATAAACAGTCCAAACTGATACGAAATGTGTTTAACACAACTGAACCATGATTGAGGGGTTTAAATTTCAATGGTGGAAATAAAACCCTATTGCACTCTGCTGCCAACTAGCCGTCTACTTTTGAATTGCACACACAAAAAAAAAAGAAAATACGCAAATGTTTGCATGTAAATTCTTCCAAAATTTCAATACGTGGCTTTTGAATATCGATACAATAATGCAGGAAAAAATATCACATTATATTGCCTTTAGATGTTTTCATACATCCCCTTAAAAGGATTGTTTCCCAGTCAACTCTGTAGATGTCACTGTGGACAAAATAACTCCTGAACAGCTAAATCTGCACCCCCACAGCAGCTATAACACCTGCAGAGTTAATTAGCAGACTCCATCCCCTTATTCTAAAGGTTGGACTCGTAGAGACTGACTGGCTGCAGGAGCAGCAGTGGGTTAGGTACATTGTAATAGACATGTTTTTAGTTTGTTTCATTTGGTTAATTTTGGGGAGGTGTGTTGTTCTTGGGTTAGTACTTTGTTCACTGTTGCAAATGGCCAATCAGTAGCCAGAGTCACAATGCCGGCCTGACTCAGCCTTGCCAGGTACTTCAACGGAGTAGGGACTAAAACTAGGGGAGAAAATACTGAACCGTGCCCTTGGGAACTGTGGTCTGGCCGAGCTGCACCGGTGCGAGTTACTCCGAGTTATACTCCTGGGGAAACCCCCTTTAGTGACAAACTTGTGCAAGATTAGAGAATTCTGAAATTATTTTTTAAATGAGAGTAAAAAGGAAACAAAATAAATAAATTAAAGCAGAAACAGTCCAGTTTACCTTCTTGGGCCAGCATTGATATAAAGGTGCAGATAAACTCATCATAATTGTGTGTCCTCCTCTGATCATCTATCTGAACAAAAAATAAATAAATCACTTAGTAACCACTAAAAAAGTTCCAACAGGGAAAATGCATTCCAGATTTAAAAACAAAAATACTTTGTATTTCTTTCTCTTCTCCACTTCCTCCTTCAGAGACACCTCGTAGTTGGTGATGTCGGCCTCCACGCACTTCAGCAGCGCCAGCAGCTCCTGCAAAACAAACTGGGCTGATCCACCGCTTTACAAGAGGAGCATCAGCTCTCAAGAAACAAAAACATAAAGGTACTATGTAGCTTAAACACTCCTCGTCAGGTATGCAGTGCTGTGGAAGCTTTCCGGACTTACTTTAGGAGAGTACTTATCCCCGGAGGGTTTGCTGTCGGCACCAGAATCTGTAACGCTGAGCTTCTTTTTGCCAGGTTTCCCCTCAGCTCCTTCTTTGTTCCCCTCCTCTTTCTTCACCTCCACTGATGGTCCCTCATCTCCTTCCTTTATGCCCTCTTTTTCATCTGCTTCCTCTTTGACTTTTATCTTCTCTGGAGTGAAAACCTTCGTGCCCTCTGGCGCCGAGTCTCCTGCACATTCAACAAACAAAAGAGCAATCAGTAAAAACGAACACAGACATGATTAAAACATTACCCTCTGATTTTACTCCATCTACTTGTTATTGGCTGTATTTTCCCCTCTGCTAAGGCTTGTAAAACACATTTCTGATGATGGTGTGTTCTCACCAGATGGAAGGAGGGAATAAATGACTCCATCTTCCTGTAGGTGTAGCAGCGCCGCGCTGACAGAGGGGCCTAGTTCTCTCACAGCTCGGTTGTGTCTGGAGTCTAGTCTCAGCATCTCGTCTTCCCCAAACAGAACACGAGACAGATGGGATGCGACTGGGCTGGACGGCCGCGTGGCGGCCTGGGAGCGCGCCGGCGAGCGCAAGGGGGAGTTGAAAGCACTGCCGATTTCAGAGGCCGTGTCGGTGCTTTCGTTGCTCGGCGTGGGGGACGGCTGAGAGGCAGACGTGATACAGATCCCCCCAGTGCGTCCTTCGGTGCGCACAGACAGGGGAGTATTTAAAGCATCTTTTCTCTTAGCCTCCTTCTTCAGTTTCTCAGCTAAAACATTGAGGGCGATCTGGCTCTCTACTCCGGTGCCGACCCGGCCCGTTCTCGAGCGCAGACTCGCCTTCCGTCTGAATCTAGGAAAGAATTCAAAAAGAGTTTAGGTCAGACCCAAACAGGAAACATAACAAAAACTTTATCTCCCTTTGAACAAACTAGAAGACATGCCTAGTGGACGTGCTGGCAGAAGCTGTAACTTCCTCCTCTTCGGCATCATAGTCTTCGTCATCCGTGTACGAGGGCTGGGATGGGCCCGGCACACGAGAGCGGCCGACGCCTGCAGCACGATCTTCCTCCTCCTGTCAGTCAGAGTCGTTATTAAACATCCAGTCATGAAAACGAGGCTAAAAGATCACACATTTGTTTGATGCGGCTTTCTGAGCGCCTGGTTTGGTTTGTTTTTTAAGCAGCTCTCTAAAGAGGAGGCTGGGGTTTTGTTTTCCTGCTTTTCCACGTAAAGACCGTTCAGGACACAGAAAGCAATATGGGCGAAAACCACGACAATCGGTGTCAGAAAGATGTCTGATCTATTTAAATACTGAACAATACAGCGTGTTCTTTAATGCGTGTGTGTGGGATTACCGATTTATTTTTGCACAGCACTTTCAGCTGCTTTTTGTGTGAAGTGTGCTTCAGAAATAAAATCTGAGTAACTATTCAGAACTGTTTTTTTATTGTAAATAACTACAGCTTAAGGCTCCTGGAGCTAAAATAAAATGCTTCTTTGCATTATTTCATACAAAAACCACTGCTCACCATCTTTAGTGTTCAGACTGTCGGTGAGACAGGAGATGGAAAGATAAATGTCCCTGTGGGACCTAAACACCTCCTGCTAGGTCCTCACATTTTACAGATTCAGGGATTGACCACTAGCGATGTGAATCTCTTCACGTCTCGTCTCACGATTCGATTCAATAGCTCAAAGCATCACAATTTTTTCCATACGGGTTTATTTTCATCAATGAATAGAGCAGTGGTCCTCAAATGGTGGCCCGAGGGCCACGTCCGGCCCGCGAGCCCTCTCTTTGTGGCTCCCAAACCATGCGCGCACCCCCCACCCCTGACGGCCGACCGGGAGGTGTAGGATAGATAGAGCTGAGGAAAATAATCAAATAATCAATGCATGAGATGCGGGCATTCTGCATCATAGAAGAGTACCATAATCAATAATAGTGGAATGTGGTTTCGTTATTTTAATGGCAGAACCAGCGTAGCATCCACATCTGTCAGAGCGGTGTTCTCCACATTTACCGGGTAGGAAACTTTGGTCCGCCTTTATGTGGTACTGCAGGGCTGAGCGCTGGAGTTATAACCTGAGACCGAACCCGAACCGAATCAGCCCGATCGGTTCTGTTGGATTTGGGCCGTGAACTATGTTAATTGAGCGGGTTGTCGCGCCGCTCGCTCGTTCAGAGACAGAGACAGAGAGAGAGAGAGAGAGAGAGAGAGAGAGAGAGAGAGAGAGAGAGAGAGAGAGAGAGAGAGAGAGAGAGAGAGAGAGAGAGAGAGAGAGAGAGAGAGAGAGAAGAAAGAGAAGAGAGAGAAGAGAGAGAAGAGAGAGAGAGAGAGAGAGAGAGAGAGAGAGAGAGAGAGAGAGAGAGAGAGAGAGAGAGAGCTCCTCCAAACACGCATTATTATTTGTCATGGAAGCGCTCAGTCAGACCGAGTGCTGTGATGTCGGGAGGTCCGGTCTTGGAGAGGGAGCGGGGTCAGTGACGGCGGCTGCAGCGTGATCATCTGTCTCTTTTATTTAGGGACACGGAGAAGTTAAAAGGAGAGAGAAATGGAAGATATAAGTTTTTGTTCCACTTTATTCTTTTGTTTCATGATGATAACACTGTAATGTAGTGTAAAGCGCTTTGGAGTCCTTACTCTGAGAGGCGCTATACAAGTGTGGGCCATAAACTGATGTTAACTTCAGCTTAAGGAGAAACTGGGAGGAAGCTTTGGTTCATTTTAAGTTACAGGAGATCTTGCTTCCCATCTACAACCTACCTACGACAGGCATCCTCCTTGGAAGTTTTTCAGTCTAGACTAAAGATACACTATCTTACCCTTGCATTTACCAGTTAGCTGCTGGATGGGCTTTTTTACTTTACTATATTTGGAGGACATGTTTCCATTGGTTTTATTGGTATCTCTTATTTTAGTTTTGGCTTGTTTTATTGTATTCTTGGTTGCATTTTTCTGTTTCATGCGTTATAATTTTAGTATTGTCTGACTGTTCAGCACTTTGGTCAGCCGTATGGCTGTGTTTTTAAAGCGCTATACAAATAAAGATGATGATGATGATCTGCTCCTCCAGAGACAGCATGGACCTGAGAGTTACATGGTGAGGGTCCCACAGGACAGGTTAGTGCAGTCACACAGCCGAGCTGGAGGGGGACAGGTGTTGTCCTTCTTTATATTGCAAGCTATGTGCATTACAGCCAGGGATCCAAGCAGCAGCAGCACCCCCAAAAGTCCTTGAAGAGACAATGTGTAGTCTTTACCGTTAACCTCTGGAACAATTAACTGAAATGCTGTTGAAAATGAATCAAACAATGCCCCGTTGTTGAAAAACATTGGCCGCTTTGAATCATATAACCCTAAAAATCAGGTCTGAAATACATAGAAGCGGATCTACCGTAAATCCTCTAATACAGGCCTGGGTCTGTATGTGACTCAAGCTCATCAAGCTCCAGGCCTTTATTGGAAGGAGGACCAGAATTAGAGGCAGGCCTCTATTTCTATTTGAGCAAAATGAACTAATGGTTCGTTGGAGTTTTTGACAATTAATATTGAGCCCACATTTTCAAAGTTAAACACATTTCTTTTAACAACGGTAGTTTCTGCTTCAGCCCTCTCCCCCCTGCCCCTGCGCAGCGGCCGCAAACTCACTGATGCGCCTGCAGCCTCTCGGAGTTCCTGCTGCTCTAAACATTAAAATAATTATTTCATTTTCGATTCCTCACTTCTGATTACCTTCAATGGTGTCTGTCTGTTGCAACCACCAGGTACAAAAACTAACTTGTTTTTATTTGACTATTTTTCTGTCCTGCCTGTTTATTATCTTCCTGCATCTCCTCTCAATCCTAAAGAAAAACTGCTACCTGGGTTCATATATATTCACCTCATGAGTTACCTTTGAACTGCAGTTCTAAAAGATTTACCGACCGCAAAAACAGCGGAGTGCTCACCGGCCAAACCAGTGAGGTGCATCACCGGAGGACAAAACAGGTGATGCCCCCGATCCACAGCAGCGAAAAGCATCAGGCACAAATAAAAGAATAAAAGACAGAAAACATAAAAGGAAATAAGCCGATATGAACGATCGCGTGTTAAATTAGTTTTTGAGGTGGCGACACCTGATTTGATAATGTTACTGTGGCCGTGCTCAGGACGCAGATGTCTGGAGCGCGTCAACAATCAGAGCTTTGCATGCGCAAGCTGGTTAAGGTTAGGATGGGGGTGAGGGGAAGGTTAAATTGCAAGAGGGAAAAGGTCACAATTTGGTTAAATGTCCGTTTTACGGCGGGTGTCAGTACCGACGCTCTGGCACAGCACGTTGCCTCCCGACGCGCAGGAGCTTGTCACTTGCTGACAGCAGGCTGCTGTCTTTTCTGTGGACTGCATCTTGCCGGTCATTATCACGTGACAGCGACTAGTCGATGACAGACATAAAAAGTCACTATAGAGCGGTGAAGTCGACTAGTGACTAGTTCATACAACCCCTGCTACTGCTCCCCAGAGTGTTCTGCAGCATAATCAGCACGTTCTCTTTGAACTTGATATCAAATTTTTGCCTCCTCTTCATCTCCACATGGTTAAAGTTACCCTCGCTGTCTATCACTGGCAAATCAAAAGTGAGACGGATGACACAACCGCCCCCCGTACTTGCTTTTTACCACATTCCACCCGGCCACAATAAAAAACCGGCCATTATTCACCTCCGCCGACTCCGACACCGGCCAAAATATGATACCCGGCAGTTAATTAAATACAGGCTAATATTAGAGGATTTACGGTAAGTCACTGGGTGACGCAATTTTTCCTTCTACGCGAGCCTGTGAGATCAAAATGCATTTACTGATTTGTAACAAGCGGTTACAAAACTTTAAGCATTGCTGTTTTACACATTTACCTCTTCGCTCATTGCCAGTGTTGAAAGGGAGTCTAAAGTGCTTGCTGTTTTGCTGGAGGTTGAATGATCTGAAGAAATGCTTGTTCGAAAATTGCGCACCCAGAGATTTTTGACCCCAATGGCTATCCATTGGTAAGGTCTTAGTTTAACACAAAAATACTGCTTGCTTGTAGTGATTTAGGTATGTACTGCCCCCTATCACCAGGGAAAATACACGCCGTCCCTTTAAGACAATGTAAAAGTGCTAAATGTTTTAGACATTTAAGAAGATTTAACAAAGTTTAAAAAAATTATGTTTGCTACCATCTCTGACTGTGGAAAAACGTGCTCTACGGATGACAAAATCATAAAAAATACTGAAAATCTATAGGCCATGTCCAGTTTTTACCTCCCATTTAGTTGATAAAATCCATAATGGGTCTTAATATTAGATTTTATTGTCTTTGGAGGAACTTTAGAATCAAGTGTTGATTTGATTCATAATCATTTATGTCCGCATCTCAATGCAATGATTATTAGACTAATTTCATTAGCTCTACTAATTAATCTACAAAACTGTCAAGAATGAAAACCGTTGTTGACTGCAACTCAAATTTGGTGTTTAAACAGAAAGCAGAAGAAAGGCAGTAAAGACATTCAGTTTCCCTTTACCTGCATTGGGGACTTTGCATAGTTGTGGTTGTCGAGGAAGGCAGGAAGGCGTGGAACGATGGGGCCAGGACTGGTGACCTGCTGGGCTCCTCCCCCAGCTGGGACCGGTGGTTTTCCCATGACTTTAGTGCTTCCTGAGGGGTTGGAGCCATCCTTGGACTGAGCCCCTGATTCATCCACTGAATCTTAAGATGAGAATTTAACATTTACGATTTGACTAATTAAACTGCAAGGTGTTAGTTACAGAGAGGGGATGGAGATGAAATGAGGCTACCAGAGGAGGATCCTTGGGAGGTGCATGGGCCTACATCTGCCTCCTTCTTGATGGGAGAGGTGTTTTCCTCTGGGGAGGCAGAGTCCTGCTGCTTCTTGTCATGAGTGGACTCGCTCGGAGTCTGAGTGAGTCGGATCATCTTAAGATAAAACAACAGATGCAACAAAAGCATGTTTAGAGTTGATCTGACTTTGCAAATAAAACCCAGATTAAAATCTGATCACATTAAACCTTCCTAACATTTTAAACACAACTAAATCTACATTTAGAGATGGATGAACTAAGGTTTCTTCTCAGCTCCTGACCTTCTGCAGACCCTCCAAAATAGTTTGTCGATTCTTCTTCAGAATTTCCAGTTTGGACTCGTACTTCATCCTGCGGTCCGGCACCACAGCCATCAAGTTGAAGCGGATGTCGTGATAGGGCTCACTGGAAAAAAAAAAAAAAAGTAAAGGAGCAGCACGAGAGTGAAGCCTTTAGGGTGAGCGTAGAAGCTGAAGCACTTAGCTAAATGGTGCATGACTCACCCAGCAGTGGCCAGTCCAATCCGTTCCATGATGACACGGCGGGCCTTATCGGTCCATTCCTCATCCTCCCCCCAGGGCCCTAAAAGCACAGTGTTATAATAAAGATGTCTGTTGTAGGGAATCACAAAACATCACATAATTTATCAATAAATGGGGAAACTAATTATTCAGCATCTAAATAACTGCCTTAGGTTAAAAAAAAACGTTATCATGAAGCCAGAACTGACCCCAGGTAGAGCACTAGATCAAAGTCTGTCTTACCAAACTAATAAAAAATACCAAATGGAAAAAATTCTGTCTAATTTGGGGTTTGCTGCCTCTCACCGTGGTCTATGGGGTATGACTTGAGTCCATCCAGCTCAAAGAGGCGATCTTTTATTGGTACGTAACTAACAAAGTGGAAGGCCTCCATGGTCCGAACGGCGCTAATCCCGTTCTGTTTCTCTGGCAGGTGTCGTGGCTCCGGTCTCCATGGAAATACATGAAAATTAAAAAGTGCAGTTTAGGAAGGTTTTATGTGGAACATGTCGCTAATGTATCGCCATCGCGATATAGGCATGCGCAAGACACACATCGCAAAGAACAGAAAAAAACACAATCAATGGTCAGCTCAGATGTTCATAATGCATTTTGTCAATCAAACTGAAGCATGAAGTTTTTGACTAATCAAATAGAGCTTTTCACCCATTTGGCCAACTGGGTGGGTTCTTATAGGACAGCTGCCCGCCTCCTTGGCGGACGGCACTTAATTTGGATGGTTAGCAAACACCTGAGTTAGATTCGCTCTGCCGTCTTTCTGTCAACTCTGCCTTTCTTGTTCATTTTCTTTTTCCCTTTCCTCACATCTTTTGATCACAATTTAGCTTTTCCCATTTTTATTATACTTTTTAGTAATTTTTTTCTTTGTTTTTCACTTTTTTGCACTTGATTTATGCATTTATTTATCACCGCACTATTAATTACTGTTATTGTGCATAGCAGATTTTCCTAATATGTCGCACAGCCCTACAAGGAACATCTGTAAATATAAAAATGTACCACTGATTGTGACTTACCTGGCATGGCTGTTATGTGCTCGGGCAAGTTCGGGAGCGTTTCCTATGGCGTAACCTTTGCTCTGGAACAAAGAGGAAAAAAATCTGAAAATTATTATATGACAGAAACAGGTGAAATAGAAGAAGAGAAGATCTACAACGAAATAAAATAAATATTTTAAATGAGAAGTTCTCAATCTGATAATATGCCTCATGTGAAAGTACAAATATCCAAGTATGATTCAAATACCTGAGGATAAAGCATGTGTAATAACTTACCTCTGGGCTAAAACCTTTGGTAAAAGCCTTTATGCGACTGAGGGTGGTCCCAAGCTCGACGCCACTGCAGTTCAGGAGAACACTCAGCAAAGCGTGGGTGGCACATGAGTTTGGAATCAGCTAGCAAGACAAAAAATGTCACAAATATGTTAAATAAAACCACTGAATTATCTAGTTTAAGTGTGTTACTTCATCTCCAAAACTGCACTTTATGAATATGTAAATTCATAAGTTGCAGAGTTGTTTTATTTATTCTGTCACACTTATTAACTTTAAAGTATGCACCTTAGTAAACCTTAGTAAACATCTCTTACCTCTATTTTGTTAAATCTTCTAATTAACAATAAATAGAACTTGGAGGTTGCAAGTGTTTTGAAACTAAGCTAAAGTCATCAGCTGATTAAATGCATTTGTTCTAATGTGTCAAGCTCCATTCATCATATACTGAATAACTTGTATGGCGTTATGGTTGGCTCAGCTTATGCCCTTTCATGTTTGTCATCCAAATAAATAATCTTAAAATTCTGCTGCTTGTGGAAGATTTACTTCTGACTGGTTAAAAAACATGTTTTAACAGATAAAATACTTTGAGCATTTTAGTTATTACATTTTAACAAATCAATACTTAGAATTTTTGTGTATTTAACACAAATCTATGTTACTGTGCTTATACAAATTATATTAACGCCAAAATCAAATTCTATCAATTGATTGTTGTATATTTTATTTAAAAACGAGGAAATGTACATTATTGAAAACTGATACATTGAGTGAATAAGTCAGACTTAAGAGCACAAGCAACATTTTAGCCATCGTATCAGGCAGGCTGATGGTATAACACAAAATATAAGGATATGTAAACAATTAGAAAGGAATCACATAATATTCGACACATTATCTACAAATATTTCACACAACTATTAATGAAACTCTTACCTGATGAGCAAAAAACATATCATTTACAATTTCCTCATCAATGACTGATGTTTCATCCACTAAAGTGTTGACTTTTCTCCTGGAGCGACGCTCTTCGATCCACTTAAAGAGGAAGATGAAGCCATAAACAGGACTGGAAGGAAATAAAATCTCAGTTGTCACCACATGTTTACACAGGAACAAGCAAGCAAGGCCTTATGTTTACAGATAGGGATGTTAAATTATATCTTCCAGGTATTTGTGCCAAACCGATCATTATGTTGCTACATACCTCTGACACTTGCTTTGAAGATCATAAATTTCCTCAACTTGGACGCCCTTGACACCTACAGAAAATTCAAACAATGATTTAAACAAGATTCACATCTACACGTTCAAAAATGTAATGTTCTCATATCTAATACTCACCAAAGTCTTCCACCAGCAGAGTGAACAGACCTGCAATAACAAAACATTTCAATTAATTATATTCTTCAAAATGTAAACGCATTAACTTGATTAATACGGTTAGAAGTCATATAACACAATCCACAAGAAATCTTGATGATTTTGCTTAAATTAGACTAATTTTCATCGTGAAATTCATCTTATTAACTGCTCAAGATGAAATGTGGAAGCTAATATTTGTTAGCTTCAAATGTGGCTCTAAATGTCTCACCTGGATCACTCTCCAGCTCCAGCCACCCTTTATTCATGTTTTAACTCGTCCACGGCAGACTAATGTTTACCACGTTCTCCGGTCCATTTCCAACAGTAGCTGAGAATAATTTTTAGATGAACGTCGCTTTAACTCACTAAACACCCGTGAAAAGCTAAACGTAAACACAAAAGACAGAACGCGTCGCTAATAAATGCCGTCATCAGGCGGAAATGGGTGGTGTTACAAAGAAAATAGTTCGGCCTGCAAAATGCTCATTTATTGCTCGTGAAACAAACGGAACAATTTTACAGCTGTTCATTAAATTTGCTTGAGTGTATTATACTTATGGCGGTATTTCAATTATTTAATCCGATTTTGTAAAACAATAATTAAAAAAAGAATCGGGAACCTTAGTTTGAGTTCTTGCTGTGGGGGTAACTTTTATGGTCACACTGGAAAAAATGTAAATTTGCAACGTTTATTAGTTCGTTTACATACATTCTACACCTTTTAGTTGCATGCTTGATATGTGCACAAATAATCATACTTTTTGATCAACACAACACGCAGAAGGTAAGCTCCAATGGCTCCTTGATATTTGAAGGCAACCGACGCGCTTTAATTAGCCGAGCGTGTTAGCTTCGTTGTAATTTAGGCTGCTTTAGCTGTAGCTACGTTACACCCACACAATGTTAGATCATTATCTCACAGCGACATCTAAGTGATTTGTTTAATCGACTGAGACCTTTGCTTTTCTTCCAACTCTGTTCACCGCTAACTGTGGTTCCTTGCTTACACGTGGGTGTTACGAGTGTTTCCGTAGTGAAAATGCGTTTATTGTTGTGTAATTAGCAAACATGAAGGTACGCCACCTCAGCCTGGGTCACAATACACATTTCACTGCAGAAAACAGGTAGCTGAGTACTAAACTACATAATCAGCAGTTGTTTGGTGAAAATAAGATTAACATACAACAAAGAAGCTGCAGAGGGGGCTTCATGCTAGCTAGTAGCAGCCCGACCGATCTAAGAGTCGTCAAAGGAAGTAAACGCTGATTTCGCGTTAATTTTAACCTATTAACGCGGTTTTATTATTATTACTGCGTTACATAGTCAAGTTAATTAGTTTTACGGCGTCTCCTAATAGTAAGCCATCCCAGAGCATTGCACATAATGATTTAGTCAGATTTATTTACACTTTATACAATCTAGTAGTGGTTTATTAGTTGAAATGCAGACAGATTACAGCTACACAATTCAGTTTGATCCACTTATATAACTAAAATCAAATTTGGCGACTTATAAAATGCTGTTGCCTATTTAAAACTTTGTCTATGTAATAAGAACCCAGGGGATTGTATAGTCCTTAAAATATATTTCTCATCATAAGAAAAAATTAATTTCAGTGACTGCTGGTTACATATATCACAGGAATATTAAAGAGTCTATAGTGGTTCATTTAAAAATTCCCAAACATCTGCCATTTTGATGGAGAATGTTTAACTGTATTCTTAATTGTGACAACCAAATATATATATATATATATATATATATATATATATATATATATATATATATATATAAACAAACATGTGTTTCATGTTTTGCTTGTTCATTATCGTTCTTAGTGAAAGCTCCTAATGAAGGTCCGTAGGTAATACATCTGACAGCCTTGCAAGACAACATGTCTGAAGAGGCCATTTCAGAAAGTGACTTGGAGGCCAGCTTTGACAGTGAAGAAGAGTGTATGGAAAATGAGGAAGAGGAGGACAGTGAGAACATGGAGGATGATGACGATGAAAATGATGAAGACGACAAAGATGGTGATGGTAATGCCAAGTGCCGTTTTTTCATTATTATTATTATTATTATTATTATTTGCCTCCAATCAGCTCAAGCCTCCTTACTCAACTGTTGAGCATGGTGGTGGAGGAATGATGGTTTGGGATGTTCTGAATTTTAACTGAAATTGGGTTATATGATGTCAATTACAGCAGTTGTAAACAAAAGCGTATTGTTTTAACTTTAGATGAACTCTCACCATGTCTTATTCAAGACCGCCCTTCAAGTGCCCAGAGCCAAGCAGATGGGACTCGGGACGATGGGGACTCCAGTTCGGCTTCCTCTGAAGACCTTTCCTCTGAGCCTTCGTCCCAGCCTGCATCTCGTCCATCCTCCCGAGCTCCCTCCAGACCCTCCTCCCGTTCTCAGGCTCCCACCAGCCCAGAGCTCTCCAGCCAGAGTAAGCCAACTTCCAGTAAAAGAAAGAAAAAAAAATCCTCTAAATTAGCCAAATCATCAAAGTCTTCAAAAGGCTTCAAACCTTCCAAGCTTTCCAAACCCCACAAGCTCCACAAGCCTGCACATATGAGGAAAAATATCAGGTAGGTTAAATAGTTTGCTGGTGTTTTAACGAGTGTGGTGCACTTTCATTACTCAACAGGGCGTTTCTGTTTGTGTTTACAGGAAGCTGCTGAAGGAGGATCAGCTGGAGGCAGGAACTAAAGCAGCTCAGCAGGAGGAGATGGATAGGAGGAAACGACTGGAGCAGCAGAGGAAAGAATTCCCCACACAAGCACCTGTTCTCCTAGATTCCCAACTAGGTGACTTCATTCATCCATTAATTTTAATGGAATTCCTCTGTTGCACTTCCTTTGTGTTCTAAATGCTGCTCTGTTCTGTACCAGTGAAAACGGCGGCTTTACTTGCAGAAGTTTCTCACTTGGTTCCTGTTAACCAGTCAGATGTTATCTGTCTGGACAGCAGCGGTGAGGAAGATGAAAAAGCGGAGTCAACTTTACCTGCGCTTGCTATTAGAGATGGTAACCTTTTCCATAATTCTGATATCCTTATTTTCATTTAGGCAGCATACGATTTAATTAAGAATTAACACACTGTTTTCTAATGATCCCAGACGTGATCGAGCTCAGTTCGGGTGATGAGGACGCCATGCAGATAAGCAGCGACGAGGAAGCTGATGGTCCCACTGGCTCAGAGGAGAGCAGTGGCGCACACATTAATGACTCGCTGAACATGCCTGATGCCCAGGGACGAGTGCTGGTGAATATTAACCACCCACCAGAGGAGAAGGACATTTACCTCGCCCCACAGCTGGCCAGGGCCGTCAAACCTCACCAAGTATGCCTGCAGACTCACTCTTTTCATTTCATAAAAGACAACACAGTAGAAGCCTCGCTCTCATGAACATGTTTCTCCTGTTCGTCTCTTAAGATCGGTGGAATCCGGTTTCTCTATGATAACCTCATCGAGTCTCTGGATCGGTACAGCACCAGCAGTGGCTTTGGCTGCATCCTGGCTCACAGCATGGGCTTGGGGAAGACACTGCAGGTCATTTCCTTCATTGACATCCTTCTGAAGAACACCGAGGCACTCACCGTGCTGGCCATCGTCCCTGTGAGTGATAAAGCTACACGTGCATGCTGCTTTATTTTGATGAAGCCTTGTGATTTTTGGTTTCCCGTTCTTCAGGTGAATACTCTTCAGAACTGGTTGACAGAGTTCAACCTCTGGCTGCCCCCCCAGGATGCCCTGCCAGCCGACACTGACCCTATGTTTCTCACCGGACGCACATTCAAAGTTCACATTCTCAATGATGAGCACAAGTATGTGGCATGTTGGCTCATGTGCAGGTGAAGTGATAGCTGCTTGTTATTGACGTTGCCTGTTTGACCCACAGATCCACAGTGGCCAGGGCCAAGGTTGTGGAGGAGTGGTCAAGAGACGGAGGTGTGTTGTTGATGGGTTATGAGATGTACCGCTTGCTGACTATGAAAAAGAGCTTTGTGATGGGGAAGAAGAGGAAAACTAAGAAGGCTGCTGGACCGGTTATCATTGACCTTGATGAAGAGGATCGACAGCAGGAACTTATGAAAGGTAACCTTAGAAAAATAAAACACACACTAGATATTTTTTTTAACTGTATTTTAATACTTTTGTTATTTAATTTAGGAATTGAAAAGGCCATATCCCGGCCTGGTCCTGATGTGGTGATCTGCGACGAGGGCCATCGCATCAAGAACTACCACGCCAGCACATCGCAGGCACTGAAGAACATCCGCTCCCGGCGCCGGGTGGTTCTGACCGGTTACCCGCTACAAAATAACCTCACTGAATACTGGTGCATGGTGGACTTTGTCAGGCCGGACTTTTTAGGCACTCGCCAGGAGTTCAGCAACATGTTTGAGCGTCCCATTCTGAACGGTCAGTGTGTGGACAGCACGCCACAGGATGTCCGCCTAATGCGCTACCGAAGTCACGTGCTGCACAGCCTGTTGGAGGGTTTTGTTCAAAGGTGAACTTTCCATTACATCCAGAAATCAGATCAAATGAGAAAAGAAGCTGTGTGTTTCTTCATGCTGCTTCTGATTCACAGACGAGGCCACGATGTGCTCAGAGGGCATCTTCCGAACAAGGAGGAGTTTGTGATCTTGGTGCGGCTCTCGCCCATTCAGAAGGCGCTCTATACGGAGTTCATGAGGCGCTTTCGAGAAGCAGGGAACAGTGGCTGGCTCAGTCTCAACCCACTCAAAGCCTTCTGCGTTTGCTGCAAAGTAGGACCGTTTCTTAATGTTCGTCCTTATTAACTCCCATTAGTTCACAACCACTAAAATCTGTCTCTTTATGATGCACACAGATCTGGAACCACCCAGATGTCCTCTATGAAGCCTTGCAGAAGGAGAATCAGACCAATGAGCAGGACTTGGACCTGGACGAAATCACCTCCTCCAGTAACCCTCGCTGCCCCGCTCCCAGCTCTGATCTGAAGGCCAAATCGGACTCCAGCAACAGCAAAGTCAACAACAGCCTGCCACCACTCAATGTGTCTCAAGATCGGGCCAGTCAGGTCATCACGTACGAATGGGTATGTCGAGAAAATACCGTCTGTGGAAAGCTGATTCACTGTCAACTTTGGTTTATTGTTGGAACCGTTGCGTCAAAGTTCAGAGCTAAAAGTTTTGTTTGTTTTAGGCGAAGGACATAATGTCAAACTACCAAGCGGGAGTTCTGGAGAACTCTGCTAAGATGGTTCTGCTCTTCCACTTGATCGAGGAAAGTGTCAGGAGGGAAGACAAGATTCTGGTCTTTAGGTGAGTCTTCTGTGTTTGATCTACCGTGGGACTGTTCCCAGGAGTCGGGGCTAAGGCTGACAGCGGAGTATCGGTCATGAGCTTGTTAAGAGGACGCACATTTGGTCATTTTTTTGTGTTCTTTTTATTTTCGTGGTGCTAAAATAGACAACATTGTTTCTGGCTGTGGTCGTCTGTCTCTGTCGCTCATTTTCTGTCCCTCACTCTGCTCTGCTCGTGTTTGAGAGAGAGATGGACAGAGGCTGATTCGCTGGCTTCCTTCAACCAAAGACATTTATTGTAATTTCATCACACAGACTTGAATGTGCAAATTTCCTTCTTTTAAAAACTATTCAACGTTTTCTGACACAAAAAGTTGTAGCCTTATGGTGATTTAAAGTACTTTTGCCTAAATGTGTCAATTTCAGAGCTGGAGCCGGGCGATTCCCCAAAATCATCCAGGTTACAGGTTTACATTGTGAAGCTTGATTTGAAGGAACACATGAATCAAATTGAAATCGCAATTTTTGCGGCTCCATTTCCACCCAGGAAACGGTTGAAGTCTCCTGTGGGAATATTTTAGATATCTTTAACTTGTTTCTAGCTGTATTTACATGTTCTAGTTATTCCTAATGATTTTTAATGTTTCTCTACCAGCCAAAGCTTGTTCACCCTCACAGTTATCGAGGACTTCTTATCGAAGAGACCCATTCCCCAAAGCAGCGCGTCCGCTGACGGCCAGAACCACAACTGGGTTCGCAACCTCAATTACTACAGTGAGTCATTTAGTACGATTAAAAACAAGCTAAAAGCCTGGTTATTCAGCAGTTTTCACGCTTTTTGGTTTGTTAAACCATGTTTGGAGACTTCCCTGTTGACGAGCTGTTTTTATTTCTATGTTAGTTAGTTAGTTAGGTTAGTCTCGCTCGTACTGCTTTTCATAGAGAGAGAAAATGATCAGAAATCTTTGTTGCAACTTACTGCATGTTCAGAGTTGACATTGGTGTGTGTGTGTGTGTGTGCGTGTGTGTGTGTGTGTGTGTGTGTGTGTGTGTGTGTGTGTGTGTGTGTGTGTGTGTGTGTGTGTGTGTGTGCGTGCGTGCGTGCGTGTGTGTGTGTGTGTGTGTGTGTGTGTGTGTGCGCGCAGGGCTAGATGGAAGTACATCATCTTCAGAGAGAGAACGACTTATCAATCAGTTTAATGATCCGGAGAACAAGACAGCATGGGTGTTCCTGCTCTCTACCAGGCACGCCTCACTTCTCTTTTCATCATTTCCCACTTGCTCTTTATTTTTGCTGATAGAAGTGTATGTTTGGGCCTTTTTTTCAGGGCGGGCTGTTTGGGGGTAAATCTGATCGGCGCCAGTCGGGTTGTTGTGTTCGACACATCTTGGAACCCCTGCCACGACGCCCAGGCAGTTTGTCGCGTGTACCGTTACGGTCAGAGAAAACCCTGCAACATTTACCGCCTGGTCTGTGACTTCACGCTGGAGAAGAAGATCTACGACAGGCAGATCTCCAAGCAGGGCATGTCGGGTAAGAACCTCTGCTCCTGAACTCAGTGGGCTCAGTTTTGAGGCTTTTGAGATTTTCACTCGTGTGTAAAACTTACACACATCTGCATGTACTTATTTCTCTTTTAAAGATCGCGTGGTCGACGACTTGAACCCAGTTCTGAACTTTACTCGTAAAGAAGTGGAATCGCTTCTACATTTTGTAGAAGAGGAGCCCGAGGCAGAAAAAATCTCAAAATCCCGTGAAAGCGTAGAGCCGGTCATTAATAGAATCTGTGAGCTCTACCCGAACCTCATCACCAAGGTACAGCTGCTCAGTGTTTCTGTGACTACATTTATGCTTGGAGTTTTAGTGTTTTGTGTGTGCGTGCGTGCATTCGTGCGTGTAAACACACCAAAAACATCTCCAAAAATTAGCAAACACACTTTTCCACACAATTCCACTTTCAGTGTGTCGGTGGTGTAAAATTATGATGCTGGCACTCTTAAGATTGCTGCAGTTCCATGTGAGTGACCTCAACATGCAAGCAGTTTATCGTCAGATTCTCACGGCTTGAATCATAAGAACCAAACACCCTGCAGAAAAAACACCTTCTGGAGAGATGCCTCTCCCAGTTACAGTGGGACGCAAAAGTTTGGGCACGCCTGTTAATCTTCGTATTAATCTTTACTGTATAAAATGTTGGTTGTTGCGATAAAAAATGTCAGTTAAATAAACCATATAGGAGACACACAGTGATTTGAGAAGTGAAACAAAGTTCATAGGATTTACTGAAAGTGTGCAATAATTGTTTAAACACAATTAGGCTGGTACATAAATTTGGTGCCACAAAAAAGAAATGAACTCAATATTTAGTAGATCCTCCTTTTGCTGAAATAACAGCCTCTAAACGCTTCCAGTGAGTCTGGATTCTGGTTGAAGGTATTTTGGACCATTCTTCTTTATTAAACATCTCTAGTTCATTCATTACATTTGATGGCTTCTGAGCATGGACTGCTCTAACTCTCACCACAGATTTCCAATAATATTCATGTCTGGGGACAGAGATGGCCGTTCCAGAACGTTCTACTTGTTCTGCTGGTCTTGTTGAAAGACCCCGCCCCCGGTCCACCTTCAGCTTTGTCACTGATTCCTGCACATTGGTCTCCAGAATGTGCTGATATTGAGTGGAATCCATGTGTTCCTCAACTTTAACAAGATTTCCAGTCCCTGCACTGGCCACACAGCCCCACAGCATGATGGGACCACCACCATGTTTTACTGTAGGCAGCAGGTGTTTTTCTTGGAATGCTGTGTTCTTTTTCCTCCATGCATAACGCACCTTGTTATGCGCAAATAACAGTTTTAGTTTTAACAGTCCACAGCACCTTATTCCAGAATGAAGCTGGCTTGTCCAAATGTGTTTTAGCATACCTCAGCTGCTCTGTTTGTGCTGTGGGTGGAAAAAAGGCTTCCTCTGAATCTCTCTCACATGCAGCATCTCCTTGTGTAAACTGCGCCAAGTAGTTGACCAATGCAGAGTGACTCCCATCTGCCGCTAGATGATGCTGTAGGTATTTGGTGCTGGTCTGTGGGTTAATTCTAGCTGTTCTCACCATTCTTCGCTTCTGTTTATCTGAGAGTTTTCTTGGTCTGCCACTTGGAGCCTTAACTTGAACTGTGCCTGTGGTCTTCCAGTTCCTCAATATGTTCCTAACTATGGAAACAGACTGCTGAAATCTCTGAGACAGCTTTCTGTATCCTTCCCCTAAACCATGATGGTGAACAATCTTTGTTTTCAGGTCATGTGAGAGTTGTTTTAGACCCCCATGTTGCTGCTCTTCAGAGAATATTCAAAGAGGAGGGAAACTTACAATTGGCCCCTTAAATACACTTTCTCATAACTGGATTCACCTGTGTATGGAGGGCAAAGGTCACTGAGCTTACCAAACGAATTTTGAGTTTCAGTAATTAGCTCTAAAGGTTTTGGAATCAATAAAATGACAGCAGTGCCTAAATGTATGCACCTGCCAAATTTGTTTAAACAATTATTGCACACTTTCTGTAAATCCTATAATCTTCGTTTATATGGGGGGGTGCCTAGGAAGGGAGATGAGGTGAGGAGAGATGAGAGACCGTGCAGGAGAAACCCTCTGATGCAGCCTGTGACCACAAGCCAAAGCAAAGATTAAGGGCTAGCTGAACAGTTGATGATCTGGTTCACCTCTGGAAAACTTCCTCTACTTAGTCGTGTTTGATCACTTTAGCCAACCTGGCGGGATCGAGCCTCATCTGTTTTGTGACTCAACCAGACTAATTACTCCACTCACACAGTTGGAAACAGAGTTATCAGTCTGCTTATCCAATCAAGATTATACAGACATAATTTGCTCGTATTGTGAAAAATCTGTTGTGTTTATCCAAATCTCTGTAGGCACCTTTCCACCACGAGTCACTGCTGGTGGATCGTAAGGAGTCAAAACTCACCAAAGCAGAGAAGAGAGCAGCGAAGAAGAGCTATGAGGATGAGAAACGAGCCTCCGTACCGTACTCTCGCCCGTCATACGCTCCCTATTACCCCACGAGTGACCAGGATCTGGCAAGCATAGCAGCCTTTAACCAACATGGCTGGTGGGTTGTCCTCTCACTTATTTGAGTGAAAGATTGTTTCCGAATGCAAAAACACTTCACATGTCAGCAAACATAGAAATAAAGCCAGGATTCTGGTTGGACTCTTCTGTTTTCAGGCGCCACCTAAACCGACCAGACGACAAGCCCGTAGCGAGCGTCCGACCCACCCAATCAACACCGATCCCAATGATCCCTCGCCACGCCCGCATGGGAATGTCTGGCTCCAGCCCTGCAGGAAGCCTACCTCTCAACTTTCTGCAGAAAGCCGGCGTTTATGTGCAAAGGATCGTCACCTCAGCTGGTACTTCACTACTTTTAATATTTAATCAGCCAACAAATTCCAAGGAATTCTGGGAAATTTGATTGAAAAAATAAACCGAATGGAAAGACTTTAAAACAAGTTTTCATATTTTTCTACAGATATTATTTTCCCTGGATCCAACAGCACAACAGATGTTCAAGCTCGCATTCCTGCTGGAGAGATTATCCACGTAATCAGGGGATCTAAAGGTATTCAGTAACAACTCCTCTTGGAACGGATAAATTCCCATTTCAGAGCAGAGGTTCACTGAGAATTGGTGGCCCAAGGATCAGGTCTCTGCTTTTTGCAGATGATGTGGTCCTGTTGGCTTCATCAGAGCGTGATCTCCAGCTTTCTCTGGAGCGCTTTGCAGTTGAGTGTGAAGCAGCTGGGATGAGAATCAGCTCCTCTAAATCTGGGACCATGGTCTTTAATCAGAAAAGGGTAGAATACCTTCTCCGGGTCAGGGACGAGGTCCTGCCCCAAGTGAAGGAGTTTAAGTATCTTAGGGTCTTGTTCATGAGTGAGGAAAGCTGGAGCGTGAGATCGATAGGTGGATTGGTGCTGCTTCTGCAGTGATGTGGGCGTTTTACCGATCTGTCGTGGTGAAGAGAGAGTCGAGCTGGAAGGCAAAGCTCTCGATTTACCGGTCAATCAAGTTCCTACCCTCACCTATGGTCACGAGCTTTCAGTAGTGACCAAAAGAACGAGATTGCGGATACAAGCAGCCGAAATTAGTTTTCTCCACAGGGTGTCTGGACTCTCCCTTAGAGATAGGGTGAGAAGCTCGGTCATCCAGGAGGGGCTCGGAGTAGACCCGCTGCTCTTCCACATCGAGAGGAGCCAGTTGAGGTGGCTCGGGCATCTAGTTAGGATGCCTCCCTGGTGAGGTTTTCTGGGCACATCCAACAGAAAGGAGACCTCAGGAAGACCCGGGACATGCTGGAGGTACTATGTCTCTCGGTTGACCAGGGAACACCTTGGGATTTCCCTGGAGGAGGTGGCCCAAGTGGCTGAGGAGAGGGAAGCCTGGGCCTCTCTGCTTAGGCTGCTGCCCCTGTGACCTGACTCTAGATAAGCGGCTGAAAATAGATGGATGGATAAAAATATATTAAAATTCTCATCTCACCTTCCGCAGGTGGTCTTATCCTTCCAAGCTCGGGTTCTCTACCAGAGGCGGGAAGCTTGAGAAACCGTGTAATACATATTACTTTTGAAAAATAATAATTGGTCACTGAGTTTCACATGAAGGCAGAACATGAAATAAGTCTTCTAACCTTATTTCCTGCATTAACCGCTGATAGAAAATAGATGGGGAAATGCTCAGGTCCACAAATGCCACTCAGACCTACTTCACACTATAAATTACAGTCATGTCTAGGAGAGAGCAGAATGTGTCTTCAATCAATCAAAGCTTTATTTATAAAGCGCCTTCCGCAACCCTGTCAGGAAGCCCAAGGCGCTGAACATGGTACAGTACAAAATTAAAGAAAGTGAATAAATCAGAAAATAAAAGCAATTCAAATTACAGATTACAAATGACAAAAAAGGTGAAACATTCTAGTAGAAGACAAATGTGTAAAACAAGGGAAAAAGTGAACCAATGAAAACTGTGAGATAAAATCAACATAAAAGAGGGCCAAATTCAAACATGTTCAGGAAACACCAAGCGAAGGAGGTGGGTTTTTAGGTGACTCTTGAAGACTGGCAGAGATGGGGACAGCCTAACTGAGGGTGGCAACTGGTTCCATAGTGACGGTGCTAGGACTGAGAAAGCCCGGTCCCCGCGAGTACGACACCTAGAACGAGGGACAGCGAGCAGGCCTTGGTCAGAGGAGCGCAGAGCGCGTGATGGGGAATGTCTGTTCAGGAGCGTGGCCAGATAGGTGGGACCACCACCCTGGAAGAAATTAAAAACAAAGACGAGGAGTCTGAATTGTGAACGACAGCAAACCGGAAGCCAGTGCAGCGAGGCCAGAACCGGACTGATGTGGTCCCGTTTCCTGGTCCCAGTCAGGAACCTAGCTGCGCTGTTCTGCACAACCTGTCTTGGCTAGTAGAAGCTAACTGTTAGCATTAGCAACTCCACAACACAGCAGAACTCAAAACAAAACAGAGGCAGCAGAAGACTTGCATTGCTGTTAAGTCAATCAGAGGTGTGATGTTTGCATACCATGAATATTAATTACTCACAAGACATTGATTCATCCTAGAAACCACGGCTAATTTATTGAAATAACAAATGTATGCCCACTGAAAAAACACTGTTGTGTTTTCTGGCAGGTTCTTACATCAGGACAAAAGACGGAAGGATCTTTGCTATTCGAGCTGGAAAACTCAGCAGCCCAATAACGGGGGGCACTTCTGCTTCAAGAGGTGCAAATTCATTCTGCATTGTTGTCCTACGTGGTTTTGCATTTTAACGATCATAAAAATGTGTACAGCATCAAAGGATGGGTTCTTGAAATTATTCTTCTCAGTCAACAGCTGTGGTGTTTGTGTTTAATTGAGGCATTGAAGGGTGTATTTGCCTTAGTAATGTTGTTTTGATATCGCCACAGACAGCCAGGGCTCCTCGGTCCAGTCCATCAGTAATGGCTGCTCGTCGCCTGTCGATCCTCAGCAGTGTTCTCCTGACCCTGACCAACAGGTGTCCTCTCCTTCCAACTCTGAGATCCTCAGGGAGCTCAGCCACTACACCTCACCCCCAGGTGATCTGTCGTCTGAGATGGGGAACAAACCGGCAGACGTTCCATCTGGGCCCACAGGAGAGGGAGGAGGCCCGCAGACCGGTAATCTCAGGAGGGAGATCAGCGATGACCTCCTGACTTCAGTGTTGGAGATGCGAGGCAAAAAACGCAAGCACAGTGACATCCAGGGCAACGCACAGATCGGAGGCAATCACGCTTCGGCCGCAGCTCATTTCCCTGGACTGTCCATGGGTTCAGGTGGACTTAGTTTTCCACCTGTGGGTCTGAACTCTTCATCCCTTCTGGGGAACTTAGGCCACATGAGCCAACCACTTCTAATGGGTGGTGGCGGGTCGTCGTTTCTTCAGAATCCGGGGCAAACGCTGGCCGACCTACAGTCCATGTTCCCCTCAGCAGGCACGGACTTACTGAGACAACCTGCCACAGGGAACAGCCACCTTCCCGTCCCTTCCTCGTCCTCTGCTTTCTCCTCTGCGTCCACCACTATTCCCATGCCATCTATGCCCTCGGCAGGAACTTCCTCCTCCCTCATATCCGGTTCTTTGCCTCCATACCTAATGAACCCCAACATGGCCGGTCTGCTTTCATCGAGTTTCCCTCTGAGCTATAATCAGCCGCTGCTTTCCTCATCGAGGATGTTCCCCCCGTCTCTCCTCTCTGCATCAGGGGGGTTCCCCACCCCTAACTCCAACTCTGCTGCATCTGGGTACCTGCCACAGTTTACCAACCCCACCTCCAGCCTGCTGGGGTCTGCTCTGACCCAACCAGACAGACATCCGAGTACAGCAAACGGAGGGGACAGTTCTGATGATGATGTCATAGAGGTTATGGGACAATAATGTTTCACAAATCCCATCAGTGATGGGAATCATTCTACAAGCAAATGTAAAAAATCTGATTGATAAGTACAAATCTAAAAACGTACAAATGAATTCAATTTTGTTCATCTTGAGGATCTACATCATCCAACTCCTATTCCTGATGCGCTCATCAAACACAGACTCTCCTCTGCGGGTGAGAGAATCTTGTAACCCAACGACTAAAGTCAAGAGGAACACAAATCCGTATGCTGAATAAAATCTGAAGGGTTTTCAGCTGGAGCAGCAGAGCGGTGGGATCTGACGTTTGCCGTACGAGGACCAGCTGAATCTGCGCACAGCCCCTTCTGCTAGATTTTTACTCAAGAGTCGCCGTGTTGATGGTCTGATGCTAGATTTTCTGGAAAGCTGTGAGCCACTGTACGTTCGAACACTAAGGGTTGCAGATCGGTGAAGAGCAAATCCACAGTGGGGACTCCTGGTGTTCGTCAAAACCACAATATACAAAAAACCCTTGAAGGCTGACCTTTTAAACGTAGATCTGGGGTATTCAGAGCATATTTTAGTGTTTAGAGGTTTGATAGACACCGTAGCACCCCCCCCACCCCACCACCCCCACCCCCATTAAGCAACCCATGTGACTGTAACTCAAAATGTTCATACTTTGTAAATAACAGCCTTTATCATTGTTTATATTTCAAGTCAATACTGTGCAGTGTGTAGGTTTATGGTCGTAGGGAGATGTAGTATTGCAGTAACCATGACGATAAATGCACCCACACACCCAAAATATGTTTGGTTTTATATTAATGAGTTTGCTTCTCTTAAAACTCAAACGAATGTACTTTCATGTTAACCTCTTGCCGGCACAGGGACGAGACGAGGATTCATAACTGTGTGCTTTTCGTTTTTAGCCTTAAATAAAACAAACGTTCTTGAGTTTGAGCTTTTATATCTAGTACTGACTTGATCCCGTGGTTCTGGTAAAAGCAGCAAGGCAGAAATGTTACCAGCTCATATACGTTTGACACCTGACAGAAGTTTCCCCTTGTTCTTTAATATGTTGATTTAACCATTTATAGTCTATTTCTAGAAACTCACTGAGAACAAAATAACTAGAACATCAGCACAATCTGAGAAGAACCTGGACTTGTAGCCACCAACCATCGCAGCAGAAGTGTGTGATTTGTCACTGAAGCTGCCGGTGACCGTGGAGCACCCTGCTGAGCTAAGCTGATGCGGTGGCCTTAAGCTGACGGTGCCGTTTTGTGACACCCCCCACCCCCCTTTAGACGCAGTGCCGTGTGAGTAGCTTTTGTCAGTTCGTGTAGGCATGCGTTGCTTCTGGGAGTTTAGGTGCTGTTTTCTGTAGATGTTTGTGTGTTGTCACAACGCCTTAAGGTGTTTAGATTTAAGAATTCCCTCCCCTCTGTTGGTAACTTAGGCTAGACGCAGTGATTATTTGCCTTTAGAGAACACTGGATGGGCTGAGACAACAGGTCATTCCCTGTAGTTACTTTATGCTTAGATTTGTTTGCTACTGGCTCCTCAGTCTCTGCTGCTTCATTTCCATCAAGGATTTTATGATTTGGTTTAAACTTGAAGCAATTTGTAAAAGAATCATTTCAGCAGATGAGCTGTAAAAAGTACACACCTACGCCATGTCCTCATTCTTAATGTTTTCATTCAGCTGCAGACACCAAATCTTTTGTTTCCTCCTCTATTAATGTTCATTATTTGTGTCTCAAACCAACTGAAAGTCACATCCCTAATTATGATTTAACTGTCTGAAACATACTTATTTATAATGTGTTTTTGTAACAGCTATTTTTTTTACCTTCTGTTCACTTTGATCCATTATTGGCTGATTCAGTAAGAATTTCATAACTGCGGCCAAAATCAAAGTAAAATAACTTAAAATGTGATATTAATGTTATTTGAACAATAAAACACGTCTATTGCAGTGTGAATGATTTATTCAGGAAATGCTATAGTATGATCTGTAAAAACATTAAAACACAATTTAAAATTTTTAAATGAATTTGCTTTCTGTCAGGACTGCAGTCGTTTTTTAGCAACGTAAGCGCTGGAAACTTGGTTCATAATGAGGACAGCACAGATAACAGGGCAGAGCGCTGACAGGTACCAGGTGTATTCCCTGACTGTAGCAGTGAACCAGGCAGAGCACAGCCCAAGCAGCAGGCTGGTGCTGCCCAGCAGGTAAACGACGAGTCCGGATGCTGCGTGGTAGCGTTTGAGTTTGGCGAGGGACCAGCCTTTGGCCAGAAATGGGTAATTGAGAGGAGCAGCTGCTAGAGACTGTACACCAACCACGCAGACCGTGAGCAGGCCCAGTAGACCGTGCCACGAGGTGAAGTGGGGTTTGTCGCTCAGGTGTTTGTTGTAAAAGATGGCAGCCAGGCCCAAAACTGCACAGGAAGCACAGAGGCTCTGCAGGACCAGATGAACACGGCTTTTGGTCTTGTGTGAATACTTTTGGATGAGGGAGCCATGGGGCGAGAAGACGAGGATACCTTCAGTCATGAAGAAGCCAAACTACAGGAAAAGAGAAAAAAAAATGTGTTAAAAAAGATTAAGTAACAAGTTTAACTACATATTAAAGAGTAACAATGAGCCATAAGTCAGTCTGGCCATGTGACTAATAATAATAATGCATTGAACTTATATAGCGCTTTTTAGGAGATTCAAAGATACCTTCACACACACATTCACACACTGCCAGTGAAGGTAAGCTACTTTGTAGCCATAGCCACCCTGGGGCAGCCTGACAGGCGAGGCTGCCATTTGGCGCCGTCTGCCCCTCTAACCACCACCAACACAGGCAAGTTGGATGAAGTGTCTTGCCCAAGGACACAACAGCAGAATACCACTGGCAGGAGCTGGAATCGAACCCATGACCCTCTGATCATGGGGCAACCCGCTCTACCACCTGAGCTACTGCTGCCCACAAGTCAAAACTATATGTATGTCCATTTTGACATACTTATATGTATATAAGTATGTCAAAAATCCAGTTGCTGTAACTTTCAAAGCTAAATTAGTTTTAAATCAAATCACATTTAATCAAGTTTGGGACCTCTGATTAGATCATGTTTCAGTGGCTGACAGGTCCCTATCACCAACCCACATGTATATCTACCTACACACACACACTCTGGGTTTGAAGCCAGGCTGGGGCAAATACCATCATCCAGTGTGGGTCCCTAGGCAAGACCCTCAGCACAACTGCCTAATTCATACCATGATGAGAGTAACCAAAATGTACAGATGTACCCAATAACCTGACTCTTCACAACACGGAAGCTCATTTCATAGCAACTAAGATATGTGAGCACATGGATCGATACATGAGCACAGCACAGAAGGGCATCAGCAACGATACCAAACACCAGATGCTGATGGACCGAACAGTCACCCAAGACCGCCAAGCCCGACACGCAAACCTGTGAAAGGCCTGGATTGATTACAAGAAAGTCTATGACTCAATGCTGCTCTCGTGGATTATTGAACGCTTTGAGCTGTACGACATTAAAGAGGACTGTGAGAGCCTTCATTGCAAACTCAATGGGGCTGTGGAAAACCACCCTTGAGGCCAAATGCACAAGTCTCCATTAAATGTGGCATAAACCAATGAGACACCCTGTCTCCACTGCTCTTCTGCGTGGGTCTAGCCAAATAATGAACAAAAAGGACTATGGATACCTACTTAATAATGGAACCACAATCAGCCACCCCCTCTATATGGATGGCATAAAGTTGTACGCCAAGAGCAAGAGAAACATCAACTCACTTTTCTTTTTCTTTCATTAAATCTTTATTTAACCAGGAATGGTCCCATTGAGATTAAAAACCTCTTTACAAGGGAGTCCTAGCCAAGAGCCAGCAAAACAGTTACAATTGTAGAGTGATGAATTGTCCATTTCTGACCTAAAAGGCCCTGCTCTGTTTTGCTCCGCTCAAAGCAGAACCAGAAGTTTCTGACACAGAACTAATCTGCATGAGATATTGCTCAAGGTCTCATGCATTGGCTTCTAAACTGTGTCTTCCTTTCCAGCTCAAGAGAAGAATGAAGACAAAGGACTCTTTCTTTTAATAAATCAGAAGAACTCTATTTTAATAAAGCTAATCAAACAAAGTGTTAGTCCAATAATAAAATGCAAACCAATCTGTGAAATGACAATGTTTATGATTAGTAAGTTATAATAAGTAATATACATTTAAATGTTTCCACTAGAGACTGATCACACGTAAGGTTAAGTCACATGACACATTTCCTTTTTCTGATCCAATCAGAATCTTCCAGATCTGACAGAGACATGGTTTTGTTGTTGCTTGGTAAATCTGTCCTTTTTTTTAATTTGACCGTAAATCAAAACATCCAAATTATGAAACTGTGCCCACGTCACCTTAACTTCAAAGCTTTCTAGAGAAGTTGTCGGAGTGGCCAATCCGTAACTTTCCTCTTCAGCTGAAAGAACCTAACGACAAGCTGAATTATCTGTTGCTGTTCCACCTGCTGCAACAGTTCCTTTCAGGATAAAAGCTGAATCATCACGACCCCTTTTTGGGTCTTGCTAGATGCCAATAAACTGTCGTGACCTGGAAGTATCTCAAGAATGGACTGGTTGGCAGCTGCGGCTGTGCTACAGGCTTCGGCTCCAGAAAGGTCCAAGCTGGACCTCTACACCTCCTGATCTAGACAGGAACTTCCGCTGGGTATGTAGACCGACAGAATGGCGTCTCAATGAGTGTTATAGGGGTTGTATGAACTAGTCGACTTCACTGCTCTGTAGTGACTTGTTATGCCTGTCATCAACTAGTCGCTGTCACGTGATAATGACCGACAAGATGCAGTCCTCCGAAAAGACAGCAGGTGACGAGCCCCTGCGTGTCGGGCGGCGACACGCTGTGCCAGAGCGTCGGTACTGACACCCGCGGTAAAACGGGCACTTAACCAAATTGTGACCTTTACCCTCTTGCAATTTAACCTTCCCCTCACCCCCATCCTAATCTTAACCAGCTTGCGCATGCAAAGCTCTGATCGCTGACGCGCTCCAGACATCTGCGTCTTGAGCTTGGCCATAGTAACGTTATCAAATCAGGTGTCGCCACCTCAAAAACAAATTTAACACGCGATCGTTCATGTCGGCTCATTTCCATTTATGTTTTCTGTCTTTTATTTGTGCCTGATGCGTTTCGCTGCTGTGGAGCGGGGTGCATCACCTGTTTTGTCCTTCGGTGATGCACCTCACTGATGCATCTGGCGAGCACTCCGCTGTTTTTGTGGTCGGTAGATTTTTTAGAACTGCAGTTCAAAGGTAACTCATAAGGTGAATATAAATGAACCCAGGTAGCAATTTTTCTTTAGGATTGAGAGGAGATGCAGGAAGATAATAAACAGACAGGACAGAAAAATAGTCAAATAAAAATGTTTAGAGCAGCAGGAACTCCGAGAGGCTGCAGGCGCATCAGTGAGTTTGTGGCCACTGCCCAGGGGGAGAGGGCTGAAGCGGAGCAGTATAGATGCAGAAACTACCGTTGTTAAAAGAGATGTGTTTAACTTTGAAAATGTGGGCGCAATTTTAATTGTCAAAAACTCCAGTGAACCAATATATATATACCATATATATATATGGTATATATATATGGTATATATATATATATATATATGGTATATATATATATATATATATATATATATATATATATATATATATATATATACCATAGACTGTACATATACACATGCTTTTTGAACTCTATGGCAATGGTTCAACTTACAGCTAGGGTCATCAGAAAAGGGTGCCATGAAAACCAACCTAGAAAGGACAAAATTAAGAAAAACGTTTTAGAAAAGCTTTACATAGTACAACGACTGATGTGTGGTTATCTAGAAAACGTACTTGTTCCTGGTCGAGATAGAAACGCCACAAACACAGAAAAGACAACAGAGATGATGTGAGCCAACCATGCTGAGACAGTTCGGGTAAAACCGTAAACCCGAGGTTCTGCTTCGGTCTCACTGCCTTTAGCCATGGTGTTTTAAATTAATTTCACTCCAGATAATCTCCGGCATGAATTCCGAACGGAAAAGCGGAAGTGAGTCGAAGGTCTTCCTGGTTGCTCCTCCGGTTAATGCCCGCTTTTATTCAAACATAGAAGATAGCACAGTTACAGTAATCCAAAGCTCCATCACACAACTTTACCTATACACAACAGGATCCACGTCACGGATGGTAAAAACACGGATGTTCTGCTTCGAATCTATCCGGGGGAAACGAAACTTCCGGTTAGTGTTTTCAAAATAAAGCTTCAATTCACATTGAGTTTTTCATACATTTGCGCTCAAATCAAGTCAAGTGTTCTTTTGTTCTTCATTTAACGCAGAGTGATGAGGGTTTGTTGTTACCTTTTCTAACATGTTTCGACCTTCACTGCCACTTTGGTCAGAGCAATCTGGATGTTGATGGCGTCACTTCCTTTTGGGCAGCAAAGGGCAATATCACCCTCTGCCCACGCCTTCTCCACTGTGTCCTCCAGGGTTAGGGTTAGGGTTAGGGTCGTGTCATCTACAAACCCCGATGTTGAGCACTATTAGCTCCCTATCTTCAGCTATAAATGTGTATTTTGGATCATTCTGCAGTTTTGTGTTAGATTTCAACACCAGGATAATAATGCAGAAAATATTGTTTAAAGTCTGCATGTTTTTGACAATTGAACTTCATTGTCACTAGTTTCACTTCCAGCAGACACTGGTTATTGTGCTTTAATTCCTCCATAATAATCTCTTGACTGTGCAGATCCCTCCACACACCGATGCCTCACAGCAGAACAACAGCATGTCCATCTAGGACTCCCTTCACTCTTCTAACTTATCCTAATCTAATCCCATGTAGCAAAATATTGAGAAGCATAGCACATAAAGTGTTTTATTTGTGCAACTGTGGTAAAACCAGACCACCATACTGTCATCATCTTGATGGATTTTCATGTAAGTTTGGAACTTTTGAGCAAATCTGTTCACTTTAGGTTGAAATGTCATAAAGTCCTTCCATAATTCTAAAGCACCAGATATTCAGTGCTGCTGCAAGGTTGTCCTGAGGAGCCAATCAAAAAGAGCTGTTGTCCAACTAAAAAACGTGCTGCCTTTCTCCGTTCAAGCTGGGGAAGGGGTTTGTTATTGGCTTCATTCTGCAACAGACAACCATTCAGAAGAGAGGAGCGAGGGCCGCATCAGTGTGTGAGACAACCAGGGTGTTTCTCAATGTCAAGGCACCTGGCCTTACGAGGCGATGTCTTGCGAGGCCAGGCGCCTTACTTACGAGGACACTGCCCTTGCTTGGCCAAAGAAAACGGTTAAATGGAACAGACTTGCATCACATGACCGCGGCTTCCACAACGGTCATGTGACATGGGAGATAACGTTGTATTTTATAAGTATTAGTTTCAATATAAATATATAACGAGCCTTTTACTTCCTAAATTGTGTATACATTTGTTAAATTAAATATATAAGTGAGTTACTACCTGCTAGCCACTGAAGCTGCAACTAATAAGTTACTAACCAACCAAAGATAACTATTTTGGATCTAAAAAAAAAACATTTTTAATTAGTTGACTTACTTTTAAACTTGAAATTTGTCCCCGAAGTAGCTGCCGGCTTCTGATCCACCATCCTTTTGAAACCATAGCGGTGTATTCTGGGTAATTTTTGACCAAGGTTAGGCTACAAGACACTTCTCGTGTATCCTTTTTAGCTAGCTAAATGGCTAACAAAAGAAGAGCACACGCCTCGGTAGAACATGAACATTGAAACACATCTTGGCGGCTCCTGATGACGTATCTACTAGGCAATCGGGGTGGGGCCAAGACATCAAGGCGAGGTTCCTTGGCATTGAGAAACACCCCCACAGTCCTGTCAAGTGACAGCTTTCCACTGTTTGTCAGCCCTCTGTTGCCTCCTTTTGGCCTGGGGGTCCCAAGCAATTGCCTGGCTTGCCTGTCAGCACGCAGCGCCTCTGCAGCTATTATATATTTGAATATTTGGTATTTCTTCATCCAGTGTTTAATTATATTTGTCATAAATAGACAATTAAACAGTTGAAATATTTCAAATAAATTTTCTTTTACTACTTAATTTGAAAGAATTATTTAATGATTAATCACCCTTTTATTGTAGAAAATAAGAAGCCATCCTCAGCTGCCATATTGCAGCCTTTGGGCTCTTTCCCCAGCTGTATGGTTTCTAAATGCCCCTTTATCAAATATTTAACAGTCTGACTTCAAGCACTCAAGGAAAAGCCTGCTGTTTACCACAGAGACGAGTTTATAAATCACACTTCAGTCAGATTGTTTCAGTTCAACTCTCTTTCAAAGTCAGAATGTCATAAATCTGTTAAACAGGACCCACATTGTGGCATTACAGCTTGAAACTTTCATCGGAACCAACAGAGGAAAGAAGGAAGAGAGAGAGAAAAGATCGAAGGAAATAAAGAAGGGAGTAAAAAAAAAGAAGAACTGAGCAAAGTACAGAAGGGCAGGTGGGACAAAATGGGAAGAAGGAATGAAAGAAGAGAGGAAGAGAAGAAGGAAGCAAGAAAATAGGGAAGTAAAGAAAGTAGGGCAGGAGAAAAATAAAGGAAGAAAAGAAAGGATGGGAAATAATAATGGACCAATGAAAGAGGAAAGAAGGAATGAAAGTCTGAACCTTTGAAAAACATAATTCAACACAATGGCTGCAAAACAATTTAAATGTATTTACGTTCACAAAAATTTACCACATTTATTTATTTTATTTGTAATTTTAATTCAATCCTTAAATTATTAATAAATAAACATTAAGTCCTTAAAGTGGCAGCTGATATTTGATCAGCATGTGTCTGACTGTTTGGTGCTGATCCAACTCTTCCTCCAGTGCAGCCTCTCTTCTCTCAGCGCTCTCATTTGGGATTAAGACAATAATCCGGTGACCACATTGTGCATGCGCAGAGTGTGTGCGTCTGTGAGAGGGTGGAGGGGTGGGGGTGGGGGAGGTTTGGTCCAAATTCAACCACAAAGTGCGTTCATCCTCCAAACATCATCCTCAGAGTGCAGCAAGAAGACCTCATTCAGGTAAGGCTGTTGTTTCGTCACCATTCTGTCTGTCAGAGAATCTGATCACTGCTAGTTTAGCTCCAACATCTACAGGAGTTTATAGTCCAGCTTCAGGCTGGATTAAGCCGGGCTGCTCTTATAGACTAATGTCAAATTACAGAATAATCTGGAGCATAAAACACGATAACAACAAACTTCTCAGTGGAAATAAACAAGACGATCCTGTTCACAATGAGTCCTTGTTGCCCTGCGTGGATAATTGCTCTGTGTGGTGACCCAGTTGGCAAACAGAACCAAGCCGCTTCATATTCAAGTCACAATAAGTTTACTAGAAAATACAAGAGTTTCACACGCATCCTTTTATATTCCTGAATGTAGATTTATTAGCATTTTGTTTCTGTGTTCATTTTTGCTACTGATGTGTTCAGATGTTCAACTAGAAAATCTACAAAACCACATAACAAATGTGAAGAATGCCAAATGTAAACTCATCCATCCATCCATCCATTTTCTTCCACTTATCTGGGGTCGGGTCACTGGGGCAACAGCCTAAGTCGAGAGGCCCACACTTCCCTCTCCACAGCTATTTGGGCCAGGTCCTCCAGGGGAATCCCATGGCGTTCCCTAGCCATGCAGGCAAGAGACTAGTCCCTCCAGCATGTCCTGGGTCTTCCTTTTGGTCTTCTTCCAGTTGGACGTGCCCAGAAAACTTCACCTGGGAGGCGTCCAGGAGGCATGCTAACTAGATCCCCGAGCCACCTCAACTGGCTCCTCTCGATGTGGAGGTGCAGCAGATCTACTCCAAGCCCCTCCCAGATGACCAAGCTTCTGACCGTGTCTCTAAGGGAGAGCCCAACCACCCTGTGGAGAAAACTCATTTGGGCTGCTTTTATCCGTGATCTCGTTCTTTCAGTCACTACCCAAAGCTCTTGACCATAGGTGAGGGTAGGAATGTAGATCGACCGGTAAATTGAGAGCTTCGCCTTCTGGCCCAGCTATCTCTTCACCACGACAGACCGGTACAACGCCCGCATCGCTGCAGACGCAGCACCAATCCGCCTAACGATCTAGCGCTGCTTTCCCTCACTCGTGAACAAGAGCCTGAGATCCTTAAACTCCTCCACTCTGGGACCTCATCCCTGACTCATCACTAAGTTAAATGTTTAGACTCACATATTCAATTGATTTCCATGTTTCATGGAAACATATTACTTTTCTGTCCTACTAATAAATTCAAATGTAATCAAACATAAAATGTATTATTTTACCACAAAAGTGCAGGAAACTGACATAAAATAAATCATCAGCAATAATTTTATTCAATCAATCAACATCAAGATGTTATTCACACATGTGTGTAAAATGTCTTTTTTTTATTGATGGCGGGAGTGGTGCATTTCTTTGAGGAATTAATATATAATTATTTAATTTGTGTTATTATTGATTTTCATTACTGCAACATTAAAGGCGCAGATTTTAAACTGAGTAATATCAAATTAAAATGAATCTACTCCAATTATTATTAATGATGTGATGTTGTTTGGCTGTCACAGACAGAAAAACATCAGTTTTAGCCAGACTAAGGATTAAGCTCTTCATCCTGTCCCACCTTTTAATGTAATCTATGAATTCTGGCATCAAACATATGTTAGTCTTTTGTTTTGCCATTTGTAAAGCCACACAGATGCAAACATTTCTAATCTTCTGTGAGAAACATTCAGAAGACAACTTCAAAGACTTGTTAGTTTGTCACAAACTTGATTTTATTGCATCTTTTCTTGATGTTTCTGCAGAAAATTGGAGCTCCTGGATCCTGAAAGGGCTAATTTAAGGATAAAGAAAAAAGAAAACACGTAGAGGTTCGGATTTTACTCTGCTGTTCCTTCATGAGGCTGCAAACAGACCAAGAATTACTCAACATGTCCATTTGTGCATGAAGAAAAGAATGACTAACTGTGAGCTGATTGAGCTGAAAGACCTCAGTGTTTCTGATCCCATCGAGCTGGCTCCTCCGGCCCTCCACACCACCCCATCACCCACCGATCCCAGTCACCCCAACATTTACCACACCGTCCGCCTGACAGGAGACACCGTCAGCATCGAGGCGCCAGTGCATCAAACAGGAAAGGGCGCTTCCGGTCACAACTTCCAACCCTACAACTACACACATCTGACCTGGTGTGACCTGTGTGGAGAATTCATCTGGGGTCTTTTTAGGCAGAGTCTGCGCTGTGCCAGTGAGTCAGAGTCAACAGAAGATCCTGTTTTTAACTATTTAACAGGATTAGCACTTTCCCATAAACCTGCTAAACTCCTCTGCCTTCAGGTTTATTTATATTTAATATTGTTGTGTTATTACATTATTAAATAACTGGATAATATAAACTGTTATTACAACATCTTATTAAAGCCTTAAATTATGAATGAAAAACTTCAAAAGACAAAAAAAAGTTTGTTTTTAGGAGAAGAAGTTGGTTTATTACAGAGATTACCGTTTATGATTGGGTCAAACAAATCTATTTTTTAATGGTTATTGAGAAAATACTTGGGAAACTTTCATAGACTGGGCTAACAATGAGATTTATAAATAATAAATACAAAAATTAGGTTAGACTCTAAATAAGTTGTGTTCTGCTGTTTTCCTCTTTTGCTGCAGGATTTCTCATATTTTTCATTTTTTATTTCATATCAAATTTTCCCTCTTTTGTCTAAAACTCTGACAAACACATATTTTGCTGACAGAGATCTGGTAATCTGGGATTTTATGGCCTTTTACTTACTGAACCAACTTAATCCAGTAATAGCAGTAACACCTTCATGAGTTTTGACCTCACTTGCAGCAAATGCACTCCTGTTTCTTATCTTTGGCCAGACTGCAGTTACACCTGCCACTACCGCTGCCAACCGTTCATCCAGCTGGACTGCAGCAGCCATGAGAGTGTATCAGCAGAGAAAAGAGATTACACTGAAGACTCCATCGAGACTGACACTAATGTGGTAAAAACACAGCGACATGCAGAAACCATTCAGGTTTTATTAAATCACAACCCAAATCTGAGACGGAGAGTGGAAGGAGGGAAGAAAATTAAAACTCTGCCCCAAAATGACTGAATTACAATTAAAATGTTAATGTTGTTTTTTTCATGCAAAAACTTAATTTGTTTTTACTGACGTCTAAAAATGGAAATTTGGCAAGATAATGAAAAAAATAAGTCCCTGTTGTGGTTTTGATAGACGTTTGGTTCATTAAATAATTTAACTGAGCCTATGTTTATTGGACAAAAAAAATGAAAAACTTCCTACAGAATAATTTTTTTGCTATTCTAGAGATTTTGCAAAAACTAGAAACAAACATTTAAATGACTAAACCTTCATCTTTTGAGCTGGAAGATTCGTAGCCTGGCAAGCTATGTGAATATATCGTCTGGTGAGGAGCTTTTTCAATTCTGACTGGAATATGGAAGCTTATAAGCTATAGCTGTCTATTGTTGAGCAGAAACTACCCATGAATAGCCCCCTCTCTACACCCTGATGACTGTCTACACATGCTATTGGCCATCTTTTTTCTAAATGAGCTTAAGTACCTCCATCTACTCTCGACTCAAAGAAAAGCCCAACTCTAAATAGTCCGAAGTTGATGCTAAAGCCATTTCAAACGAGTAGCAGCCATCTTTGTTTTATCATTAACATCTCACCCATCAACAGAGCACTGTGACTGGCTCACCAAACCAATAGCACACTGTCATTGGACCGCTACAGAGCTGTTGCCATCTTAGTTTTGCTCAGTCGCTCTAACATTCCTTCCACCTGGCAGATAGAGTGCTGTGATTGGCTGGCCACAATACTGGCTGGGGCTGCGGAGGGTTCAAAGGAGCCGACATGCAGAGCTAAATCTTTTTTGCTTTTGCAAATGTCTAGATTCCAGGCTGTTGGGTTTGTTCAGTTTTGAGCATCTTAGAGTTGAAATGTAAAAGCATGTTTTTTATTGCAGGGCAGTGGTTTAGGTGGAGGACTAGACTCCAAGTGTAACATTTGTTGTCTTGTTAATTGTCTATAACTTGTACCTGTTGTCTATGCCATCTGCACAACAGCATGTGGAATGGTCAATCATTGTAACTTCCTAGATGGACAGTTTGATTTCACAGAAGCGTGATTGACTTGGAGTTACATCATGTTGTTTAAGTGTTACATTTTTTTTTAATTATTTTGAGTATATTTCTCAATATTATCAACCCTTTACTTACCACTACATCATGAAGAGGCTGCAATCAGAGTAAAGTTTAAAACTATTTTTACATAACTTAATTTTTCTAACACGATGCACCCCTTTTAAAAGTGGTTAAACTGTTTTGTTTTTGTTTCTAAAAGTTGTTTTCCCTCACCTATTAAGTGGATTGATTGTTTTCTGCCCACCGCCTTCCCTCAGGATGAGCAGAATGAAGTGGGTAAACAGGAGCTGAGTGCTGCTGCGATTCACCGGAAGGTGAAGGAGTACAACGTTCAGATTAACAACAATCTCTACATGGTGGTTGTGAGTGACAGCTGATTTTATACACAGTGTTACTTTAGCTTGCAGTTTTTATTCAAATGTTGCGCCTTTAAAGGGACTGTTGACCATTTCAAAGTATGCTTCTGTGAAAAAGTAATAAATAATTGCTATAATAGAGCTTCCTGAACAGTTTTGGAGAATTATTGTAATTTCTGTTTTAGAATAGCTCCAGTACGCAAAATTTTGAAGGTCAGCTTTACTCATATAGTAGTAATGAATGCCTTGTGTATCATTCTCTGGGGAATAAAAGCTCTGGTGCTCTTGCTTGAGGGTGGAGAATTCAGCTGGAAGAGAGCTCAGCAGAACGTGACAGGATATGAAGTCTTATTTCCTGATATTTGGTCATCTCCCCTCTGATTAGCTAACAGCAACACAACACCACTGGCTCCATTTGCTTTGCAACATTGATGTTTTATTACCACAAATAGCACAAGCCTGGAATTTGCTGCTGTGTTGCCCAGTTGCTATTGCTAACAGTTAGCTTCTAATAGCCAAGACGTTTTCTGCTGTTTGCTGGATGCAAAACCAGTGACAGCCTTCCCCGTCGCGAGCCAAGATTGGTGAGTCCATGAATTTTGAGTGACAGTGTGATGTAGATCCGTCAGGCTTTTCAAATCCTAGTGTTTCACTATTTTCTATTAGAAGCTAATGCAGTAAATAAGAGTAGAAGATTATTTTAATGTTCAGCCTGCATGCCAAACACAGAGTGATTGATTATAATCTGAAATAATCATTTAAACATTTTTTCAGAGAAGCTGACCTTTAAAGTGATTTCTGAAGAGCTGTTTTCTAAATCTTTCCCCTGCTGTCCTTTTAACACCGAGTGGTTGTTTAAATGGAGTATTTTGGGTGTTTACAAGTGTAAATATCCACAGATGAAGCTGAATGTAGCACTTTTGTTTCATCAAGGGTCAGGTCTAGCAGTAATTTCTTAACATTTATGCGTAATCAACAGCAAAAGGCCTAAATATCTTGTCTTGCAAGGCCTAAAAGCCATTTCTCTGAACAATAGCTGTTCAGGAAGTTATCTACGATGTGTAAAAAATAGTAATCATTTTGAAGTTTTAGCCAGAAATGACCAAAATATCCCATTCCATATGCTGTAATCATTTCTACCTTCCAGAATAAAGACAAGTCCTTCACTGGTTTCATCAAGGTCCACTTCCAGTTACTTCGCCCCATCTCCCTGCCTCCTCCTCCTCAGCGTCAGAACTCAACAGACGAGGAGGGTCAGCAGAGCAGACGGATACCGCGGCGGACTTCCTTCTACCTCCCTAAAGATGCTGCCAAGCACCTGCATATAAGCTCAGAGACTCAAGTGCGAGAAGTCATCGAGGCGCTGCTCAAGAAGTTCACCGTTGTAGACAACCCAGCAAAGTTTGCCTTGTTTGAACGCACAGAGAAACAAAGTCAAGGTGGGATTATTGAGATTATTACAACACAACGAAAGCAAATTATGAAATTATGAAACTGTGATTTCTTTTTGCTCCTTTTAGTCTCCTTGCGTAAGCTGTCTGATGATGAGCATCCTTTGCTATTACGTCTGTGTGCCGGTCCCAGCGAGGCAGTCTGGAGTTTGGTTTTGAAAGAGAACGAGACGGGGGATGTGAATGTAAGATTTTGTTTATCTGTGGTGGTGGAAAATAAGCCTTTAACACAATTTAACCACCTTACACAGGGGGCTGTACCCTGCAGCCCTGGAGCCAAAGTGGCTCTGAATAACTTTGGCTAGAAACTATTAAAAAACAACTCATGTTTTGAATAAATTGGGGATGTGCGATATTATTGCCCAATATCGGCACTAAAATTCAATATCAGAATTTATTGGTATTGGTGTTTACAACTTTTGCACCCATATTATACATCAAACTCTTCAGTTTTTTCTCCTTTCACTCAAAATGTCTAAAAACGACAGAGCCGAGCTTTAGTTTTTGAGATTCCTGTGTTTGTTTGGCACTACTGGTGTAGTTTTTCATCTTTTGCACAGATTGGATTTAAGGTTTAAGTTTGGATGAAAGGAGATATGTAATGTTAGTTACACACAATTAATTATTTTTATTATTAAAGGGGGTTAGGGTTAGGGTGCAGATATGTGTAGCCTTTTTAGTTTGTTTTTTTGTTTTGTTTTTGTTTGCATAGAATAATTGAATTACCACAACAATGTAATTTTAGATCTGTTTTCTACACAAAAATCAACATCCCACAGGAGAAAAATATCTAAATATTTTTATTGCAAATGTTTTATATTTATTCCTAATTTGAAATCTTAACTAATTTGTGTTTTATTTGAAATCACAACAGATCTCTTATTTTCATGGAAGAGAAAACAACCCACTTACTTTAATTTCAGAAAGAACGTCAGAATCCTGACTTTATTCACAGAGTTTCTGACTTTAGTCTCAAAAGTCACAGCAAAAAGAGAACTTTTTTAGTGCTCCTAATCCTTCTCTTCTGTAAATATTACTCAAAAACAATAAAATGTCTCTTTTCACAAGGTCCTTTAACAGTTGCAGCTCTAAACAAGTTTACCAAGGTGGGCTGAGGGGAAAATACTTTGTATTGTAAAGGTTACAGACCCCTAACACAAATGCCAGATCCATTTTGTCCTCCTGTATAAAACAAAACTTCTTCTCTCCACAGTGGGATGCATTTAGTCTTCCTGAGTTGAGCAACTTTCTGCGCATCTTGCAGCGTGAGGAAGAAGAGCACACACGTCAGATTGTGAAGCGCTACGCTAACGCTCGAGACATGATGATGCGGGCAATGACCCACATAACCACACCTGGTTGATGCAGAGAGAGGGAGACAGAGAGAGAGAGAGAGAGAGAGAGAGAGAGAGAGAGAGAGAGAGAGAGAGAGAGAGAGAGAGAGAGAGAGAGAGAGAGAGAGAGAGACTGAAAATTGGTCAAACTTAAGGTGATGATGTGAAAGGAAAGAAAAGGCTCAGGCAATGACTGAGCATGAACATGTGCATTTTATGTGAACATCTGAAAGAGTCTGCTGATTTTATTCTACACACTGGCACTTTAATGAACCTGTGAAATTGAGCTGAGTATTTTTCCTGTGTTGGACACATATTTATATTCATCCATCCATCCACCCATCTTCTGAACCCACTTTGTCCACACAGGGTCGCGGGGGGGGGGGGGGGGGGGGGGGGGGGGGGGCATTTATATTCAATTTATTCTAATAAACTGATCACAATAAATGACAGACTGACTGATGATGATACAGTTATTATTAAAATGTCTGCTTTGGTAAGAATGTTTAAAACATGGGCAAAGAAATAGGTTCTGATGACTGAAATAAATACAGGCATATGTGTGAGGAAACCATGAGAAGGGTATTTTCAATTCTTCATAAAGAATTTTAAATGCTAAAATCTGGATGTAGGACTTTGCTTTTATTTAACAAGACATTTCTCTAAAATTTAGAGAAATGTCTTATAGATGGTATGTCTTGATAAATGTTAGAGTCTAAATCCATCCCAACAAAAAAATAAATAAAAATAAAAATAAATCCTCAAGAAAAAAATCTTTTATTTAACTGTTTTCACAAAATTTAAAGCACAGGATTAGATGTTCTTATTTACAGCACTTAAAAATTACTGAATATGAAATATAAATATGATACATGCCCTAAAACTTTCAAATCTGCTTGAGGTTTATGAACTAAACAACCAATATATTTGGTGAGCTTCGTATTTATTAGTGATTATTTTATTAAATGTTATTATTATCTTATTTTATACAATTGTGGTATGTATACATGAATCGTGAATCAATACATTTTATGTTTTAAGAAGAAAATATTTATTTATTCATTATTAATTTATTCATTTATTGAAAGTTTTAAATTAGGGTTTCGGCAGTACTGCTTCCGGCCACCAGGTGGCGGGTGCACATCCAAACTTCCACACAGCAACTTAAAGAAACAACCAGAACAAGAACACTGAACCATTAGCTAAAGTAGCTACCGTACATCTAGGAGCATTTTGCAGACTGAACTGGAAACGCGTCAAGAATAATTCATGAGAGACAATTCCCACCTCTGAAGACAACACTGCTTACTTTGAGGTATGTTTTGACTGGAATTCAGGCTAACGCTCTCCAGCACACCTATGGGTGCTAGCTTTTGTCAAAGTGCGTAAACGTATTTTAATTTAGAGACGTTGGTATCGACGTTCATGGTAACCGAGGGCTAATGTTCTTTAGTTTAAGCAGTCATGCCTTAAAGCTATGGTATTTGACGCCTGTACGCGCAGTTCCTCACCCGGTGTTGTCTGTCAGGACATGCTAACACAAAGTTCCTTTGTCAACGTTCTGGTCTTCAGACTCAAAGTTGTCTCGTTTCTTGTTCCGTTCCCTTTGTTTTATAATGATCGTTTGACTTGATGTTCTTGTCATGTGTCTTGCCTATGTATGTCTGATCTCTGAATTGTGTGTACTGAAACTCTAATTTCCCTCTGAGATTAATAAAGTATCTTTGAAATTGAATTGAATTTGAATGTTGCACTATTATGAGTATAGTTTGAAATGTAAGAGTCCTTCTTGGTAAAACGTGGGGATACTTGGGTGCACTGTCATGACTCGGCCTGTGATTTCCTGACAAAGGGCAACCAGTTCTGTGAGAAAGTATTTAGTCCATTACAGTCAAACGTTTCAGATGAGCAGTAAACCATATCAAAGTCTACCTGAATACAAAACGGAGATTTCATTTATCAAGAGGAAAATGTTACCCTAACCAACCTGGCCCTGCGTGGAAAACTAAATGCCCCTAAACCAAATAACAGCTTGTCTGATGTTGGCTACGAATTAAATGTATTGAAAATAAACAGAATGTGACTCTCTTATCAAGCATTTGAGATAACTAGTAATCATTGTGGAGACATTCTGGCCCCCACTCTTTTGCAGAATAGTTTTAATTCAGCCATATTTGTCTTATACTTACATTTGTTTGCTGGTTTTAACAGATTTAGGTATAACAAAAGACCAAAACAGAAATCAGACATTTTCATTGCAGTGACAAAAGTTTCTTCCTCATATTTACTTGGTTTATCTCCGTAAAGATTATATTTAAAGATGTTACGCTACAGAGGGAGGTTGACTGGTGACAGCATATTCTTCCCACATCTTCACACACTAAAAAGTATTTGAAACTGCTCTTCATCCATCGTTGGCCATTTATTTAGGGTTAGGTCGTGGGGGCATGAGCCTAAGCAGAAATGCCCAGACTTCCCTCTATCCAGCCACTTGGACCAGCTCCTCCAGGGGAATCCCAAGGCATTCCCTGGCCAGCTGAGAAACATAGTCCCTCCAGTGTGTCATGGATCTTCCTTTATGTCTACTTCCAGTTTGACATGCTCGGAAAACCTCTCCAGGGAGGCATTCTAACTAGACGTCCAAGCCACCTAAGCTGTCTCCTCTCGATGTTAAGGAGACGCCAAGGTACCGAAGTTCGTAGAAAAGACCGCAGTATGACCAGGTCGGTCCAGAGTCGTCTCCCAGATCATAACAGATAGATGAAATCGTTTGCGTCTAGAACAGCCGTTTCTGAATAGCTGAAGGAACCGTTTTGCTGTGTCAGCTGTTGGCAGCTTTTACCTTGTTGAAATCATGTCAAGAGATGCGGTGGCTAGAGAGTTTTCCTTCAGTGACCAGTCAGAGTTAGCTCAACTAACAGGATGCTGAATCTCACAGAATGCTGGAAATGATGGAATGATTCTGTTTTAATATTATCATTTTATGATTTACTTGGCCAATCGGGGCGTGCCACGTTAAGGGGTGTTAACAACAAACCCTCAGAACATCACGCCTTCTTTCAGATACAGGATGATCTGATTTGTGGCTAAGAAAATATCTATGCGCAGTGACGTTACTTTAACTTTAATTTTTCTCTAACGAACCTTGTGTCTAAGTGTAGATAATGATTCACTTGTTAAACCAAACATTACTGATCATCATATATAAATCTTTCAATGTAATAATAATTAGGGTTGTCACGGTGTGAAGATTTAACCTCACGGTTATTGTGACCAAAATTATCACGTTTTTCGGTATTATCGCGGTATTTTTTTTACGTGTTACATTTTCAGACAAATAAATAAACCCTGTATATCAGGAAAATATTGTCCTTAGTTTGTGTCAAAATTTTGCCTAAACTTGTTATTTTGTAATTATGTTGTTTATTTGTTTACATTTTCCCCTTTAGTCTCTAAAATACCAATATTTGCCCATAACTTCTTATTTTTTGTCTGTTTGATATCATCATTTTAACCCTGAATCTGTAGGTGAAAACTGACCATTCCTGGACGTTACACTCATTAACAAGGCCTGAGATACCTAAACTTCTCCACTTGAGGCAAGACCTCATCCCTGACCCAAAGAAGCCATTCTACCCTTTTCCAGCTAAAGATCATGGTCTTTTAGAAGAGCTGATTCTTATCCCAGCTGCTTCACGCTCGGCTGCAAACCGCTCCAGCTCTTTATCTAAAAATGTTGTTTTGGTTTTCAGGTTTGCTCTGGAATGTGTTTTAAATTAACTCTGGTATACATCTAAAATTGTAAAAATCAGAATCTTCTTTTCATGTGCCTTTTGTTCCCTAGGTGTCATACCCTGAGAGCTAAATTTTCTCCAGTACAGTAATACTGTATCACCACTGGCTGCCCTCTGACTCGGGAAAATAATGTGCTGCAGCTGAAGATGGGGGGTAGTGGCTCCAAATCCAAAGGATTTTGGCCCTTTTCTGGCTCAGGTTCTGTAGACGATCCAGCCAAAGATGGAAACGAGCATTCGCTGAAGAGAGTTAAGAGTTTCCCGGGTGCAACGCCTTTTGTGTTTACCAGAAAAGGGTAAATATGGGCTTGGTATCCATAAATGTTAATGAGCTACAGGAGGATCATAAATTGAGTTGGGCTCATATGTAACCCACTGACACGAGAAAAAAAAATCGACAATTCATTTTGTGTAGATGGATAAAAAAGATTTCCTTTTTGGAAGTTTTGATTTAGAGATATTACCAGACATCAAGATTTAGATGTGGCTGCTTTGTTTCTCCTGTCGTTCTTTAAATGCAACTCTGTTACCACAAACATTGCTTTTATAACCTTGCACAACTCTTTCTAGTGAATAACATTGGTTAAATGCCAATTGTTGCTCTTTGCTGCAGCTCCATGTACTTTGATGAAGATGGCGACTTGGCACACGAGTTCTATGAGGAGACGATTGTGACAAAAAATGGCCGTAAAAAAGCCAAGCTGAAAAAGATACAGAAACACTTAACACCTCAGGTAAGTAAACCACTTTATTTACTCTTCAACAGAATATCATCATTAGCTCCAGTTGTTTGTTATTTTGTGTCTTTTCAGGGAATTATAAAGCTGGACCACCCATGCATTCATGTAGATTTCCCAGTAATCCTATGGGAGTCCTGACTAACTGTGAGGTTCTCAGAGAAGCCACTGTGTCACCTCCATCCAGAGGTCCCACCCTCCGCAGATGGAAGCCAGAGTCAACATAAAAAAAATAAACAAAATGTGATGTTTTGATTTATCTGATGTCCCTGTTTGGAATGGCTGTGCTCTGTTTATGGCTTGTGTGCAGCGAGATGCTAGATCGGCCACCAGAAGAGATGAAGACAGGCAACAAAGTCCAATCCAAACAAGTCCTGGTTTTTGTGCATGTCAGCGTGAATGTGTGCAAACAGAATGAATAATGAAAAATTACTTTTTTCCTTTTTTTTTATTTCAACAGGTTATTGTCTGGTATTTTCTATTGAACTCAGTGAGTTTAAAAATGAAAAGTTACCCAGTGTGTTCTAGTTAAGGTTGTACCTAAATTGGGATTTGTCTGCGCACACCTTAGTTATTTGACACTATTTGGATTGGCTTTGTGTATGCATAAGGCAGAAGCCTAGGGAAGTGGACAATCAGTAGTCTACAAAATGTCAAGTGGATTAAAATCTTATGGCATTGTCTGAAGAACTTGCTTCAGTGACTTCAGGGTCACCTGTGCACAACAAGAGTGAGGTAACCTGTTTTCTTTGCTGCTTTGGCAAAATGTGTTCCACACTTAATTTATTAAAAGTTTTTTTTAATGAGAAATCCAGCTGTATTGTGATATGTTTGTTAAGCAAGTTTTGCAAGTATTGTTGATTAAGCAAAACTATAGTTGTAAAATTGGACTTGCAGCTGCAGAGGAAGTTGCAAAAATAAACCCCTGCACTGGCATGGAGCACACGGACATCTGCTACGGAAGTGGTGAAAGTAAGAGGCGTTCTTGCCTGTGTGTTTACAAAAGCTGGAATAATATGCAAAACAATGCACGAGTTGCTGAGTTGAGGGAAAACTCGGCGCACCATCTATCTTGTGGCTTTGCTGATCAAAATATGAACCCAACATTTAATAGATTATAAAATCGGTTTTCAATTTTTACCTGCTACTGAAAAATTTCCAGCAGGTTAAAATCTGTATTTTAAACTGAAGACGCCAGTTTTTTTATGAACAGTAAAATATAAAACTAATTGTTTCTTGGAACAAAGTCGGTGTAGTTTTGCCATCAAAAAACAATTATGAAGATATAAAAGATATTTTCATCCCATTAAGTACATCATTACGCTCAAATAATGAGTTTGGCTGATTAGTATTTACTTTGTTTATTATTAATGCGGTTCTATCCCTTTGGTGCTATTTACGCTGCCGTCCTCTGCGTGGTGACGTCTCATTCAGAATAAACCAACTACGCGTTCTTTAGGGTGTCACTAAAATGTTTTCTACCGTCACTAAATGTTTTCTAATGTCGATGTTTCTACCCTCGAATTAACACTTGTTAGATTATGATACAATTCAGAAATTTATTCAAACTCTTTCTAAACAATTAATTCCAATTTAGCTTTCGAAAACAAAACAGCAAAACCCTCAAAAGATCCAGAACACCCCTCCTTTTTAAGCGAATGCGGTTTCCTTCTATTGCTCAACGTCCCTTCATTTCTCTCAGTTCACGCTGACTTTTTAACAATCGAAATGGATTAAACAAAGCGCCACAGTCGTTTTTCACATGGCTGGGCGGTGGGGGACTAATTTATCTGACGGTTTCATGAACGGAATAGATGTGCATCCTTGCCGCCAAAAGAACAGGTTAGAGTGAAGACGCCGAAGAAACCATTAGCTAATTTATTAGCAACACGGGTGTTAGTTTCAATGAAATTTTTAGCAAACGTGGCCATTTAGCTAAAATTATTGTCAGCAAGTTTCTTAAAGTAAAACGCAGCTTAATTTACAGAAGTAAATTTTAATAATATTTCAGATCACGAGTTGCAGATTTGTTTTGGTATGTGTTTTAGATAATATTTGAACTTGTTTGCTATAAGTAGTCTGCCTTTACACATTGGAAAATTCAACCCCGTCTGTCAATAATTTGTATGATCGCTATGTCTTATTTTGGGTTGAAGTCGTGTTTGTTTTCTTTCTAGAGTAAGTGGAGTGAAGGTGAGCAGGGACTACGATGGAGGCAGCATCTCACTCTTTCCTCACCACAGCTGACCAGCTGACCTGGCTGCTCCTGACTCTGTTGACATGGTGGACCGTCGAGTGTTCAGCAGAGACAAAGCAGACGAGATGGCCATTATACTCCCAGAAGCCAGTTCTTCTTGTCTGGAATGCTCCAACGCAGGAGTGCAGGACGCGACATGGTGTTACTTTATCTCTAAACCAGTTTGACATTGTGGCAACCCCCAACGAGGGCTTTGTCCGGCAGAATCTCACAATGTTTTATAAGGAACGCCTTGGATTGTATCCCTATTATGAGCATGGGGCCAACGAAGTGAATGGAGGCCTTCCACAACTCGCCAGTCTCACTCAGCATTATGAAAGAATGCCTGCAGGACTAGACAAATACATTCCAGACCCTAAGGCAAAAGGTTTGGCAGTCATTGACTGGGAGGAGTGGCGACCGTTGTGGATCCGAAACTGGGATGCTAAAGATATCTATAGAAATAAATCACGTGAATTGGTGGCTATAAAGAACCCCAAGTGGACCTCAGATACTGTCGGGAAAGTTGCACAACAAGAATTCGAGCTGTCGGCTCAAAAATTCCTGCATGGCACGCTGAAACTGGCCAAGAATCTAAGGCCAGATCAGCTGTGGGGGTTCTATCTGTTTCCAGATTGTTACAACCACAACTACAAAAGCAGCCTGGTAAACTACACGGGCCACTGTCCTGCAGTAGAGATGGCCCGCAACGATCAGCTCAACTGGTTGTGGATGGAATGTACAGCATTTTTTCCATCGATATACATGGGTTCTGTTCTGAAATCTACAGATTATGGGCGCCTGTTTGTTCGCAACAGGCTGAAGGAGGCGATGCGCTTGGCTTCTGTTGGAGATGGATTAGCACGTCCTGTTTTTGTTTATACACGACCAACTTACAACAGTGAGATGACCCTTCTAACTGAGGTTAGTTAAGGTACAGCCAAACTTCAAAGGTCCTGGTGCATTCATCTGTCTTAAAATTCTGAATCTCTCTTATATGGCTGAATAGGTAAGATGTCAGATTGGTCTTTGATGTACTGGTACCTCAGTCACATTTCGTTAAGCCATCTTAATGTAGAAATCTGGAATTTTCCCACTTTAAGGAATTATGTATAAAAAATTTTTTTTAGAAATCTGTAAAAAATATAGTCTTACACTCTACTGTGATATTATGCGGAGGCAATAATACATCAAGTTTAATGCCATTCTGACCTTGCATTAGGAAGTAATTAACTCTTAATCTTATCTAGGGGGCGCTGTGACCAATTACATAAAAATCCCACTGAGGTCCTCTTAGGGGGTCATAGATGGTTTTGTGGTAGTTTTGGCATCAATCAGACGTTGAGTGTGCTTTCTAGAGCCAAAGAGCTGAAAGGGGGCGGAGCTAAAGGAATTTGAACCAACAACCACATCAATGTGTTTGGTGCAGTCACGTGATGACACAAGCCAAGTATAATGCCATTCTGACCTTGTCTTTAGAAGTTGATGAAGTTTGAACCCATCTAGGGGGCGCTGTGACCATTTACAACTAAATCCCATAGGGGTCATCTTTGGTCTTCAAAGATGGTTTTCTGTTAATTACAGTCAAACGTAAGGTCACGGCGTTACGCCAGAAAAATGATTGAGTAAATCAATCAGAAGCGGACCCTAGAAATGGCCAAAGCGGGGTCAAACTCACCACTTCAAACCAAAATGACCGACTTCCTGTTTGATGTTGACCATAGTTGCAAGAGGTTTTTCTGTGTGGACTGTTGAGTACTACAAGTGCACAAAATTTCATAACTGTACGATAAACAAAGCTTCATGGAGGGGGGTATTTTTCACATTCTAGGAGGCGCTGTGGAGTTAGTTAAATTGTGATTTTTTTTTTGGGGGGGACCTTTAAAATACAAAATTTTACACCACGCCTGACATGTGTGCAAAAACTCCTGAGTTTTCGGGTATGTTAAGGCCTCCAAAAAGCCAATTTACTTGGCAGAAGAAAAATAAACAGAGTAGATACAACAGGCCTTCGCAGCGCTTTCGCTGCTCGGGCCTAATAAAAAACAGATGAGAACAATTGTTAAACAATTAAAATCAAGACAAAATTAAATTGCAGACCCCAGTGATGAAAATGCTTGGACATAATAATGGGCCTTCAGACGTGACTTAAAAATCTGGAAGGAAGGTGCCAGCCTAACTGTCAAAGGTACACAGTTCCACAAATTTGGAGCAAGGACCGCTAATGCACGATCTCCCCTAGATTTGCTTCTGGAATGAAGGACCCCCAGTAATTTCTGGTCACCAAAGCGAAGAGAGCGGGTGAGGACATGCCTTTGTAGCAGTGCTGATAAATAGGCAGGAGCAGTACCGTGAAGAGCCCTGAAACAAGCATATCTTTTTTAATTTTTTTCCTGAGTACGACTTGCGTGGCAATTATTCCTACTAGAGACCACTGTGAATGCATTGATTGAATGAGTGAACCACACCTTTAATATTTCTCTCTCTCTCTTAGTTTGAATACACAATATAATGTGAGAATAATATTTGTAAAACAATGTGTTGTAGGTCTGTTTGCCATCGAGAGGTGCACATTTACAAACGAGGCATTGCTTCATGGACATAGGGAGAGGGGCTTATGGTGCAATATATTTTTCCACCTTTAGATGGTGCTCTCTGGTGAAAATTCAGGATTTCTACTTTAATTTCTTAGTTTCAGTTAAGAAAATGGGAAAAATGGAAAGAAACAAAGTTCTTTGTAAAGTTTTTTTTATCGTACAGCACTGATCATCTCTTCAATTTAGAAGCATTTTTATGCCTGAAAGTGAGAGGAAAAGCAGCCAAATTCCAAAGGAAACTTTCAGAAAGCCTTAATAAAATTAGAAGATTTTTAAAAATGTGCTCTAAAAATGGTCAGTTCTGAGGATGTTTGCAGCTGCAAACGAAACGTCAGCAAGGTAAAGAAAAACCTTATCTGTGTTTAAAACGGAACCAAAAATGGGATTTGAAGACAAACACAGCAAGAACGTACAAAACATGTTTAAAACATGTGTCTGGGATGACTTAATAATTTAAAGATTCAGTGTTCTTGTGACAGAATTTGACCAACATCTCTTCAGACCACACAGTTAGAGATGTCCCATCTAACCAGCTTGTCGTGGAGCTCAGATGTACTAGAGTAAAGTACCTGACCTAGACTGACCTGTGTTTGTTTTACAGACCGATTTGATCTCCACCATCGGTGAGAGTGTTGCAATGGGAGCTGCAGGTGTAATCTTCTGGGGGGACACTTCCTATGCGAGCAACGTAAGCATGCATGCCTGAGGCTGAGAGTGCTGCTGTTCTGTGGTTTGAAGTTAACACATTTTCCTTTCTGCAGACCAGCTGCTCCACCTTAAACAAGTATCTTGTGGGACCGCTGGGCCAGTACCTCCTCAACGTGACCACAGCAGCAGAGCAGTGCAGCCAGGCGTTGTGTAACTCCCATGGCCGCTGTCTTCGCCAGGTCCCGGACAGCAGCACATATCTGCACCTCATCCCCTCGACACACAAGATCACCAGTCAGAGTGGCCAGCTGAAGGTGACCGGAGTGCCTGGTCAAGCCCAGCTGCTCGTTTACCACAGACATTTCAAGTGCCAGTGCTACAGTGGTTATAAAGGTGAAGGCTGTGAGCAGAAAGAAAATGGGCGGAATAAAGCCGCCTCTGTCTTAGGAACATGTCCGCTCTGCCTTTTGCTCCCACTCGGACTTCTCCCTGTGCTACACTAATACTATGAAGAAGGTTGTTTACGGCTTCTGCCAGTACTGAAAGGAAAAGTTGGGTAACTTTTCCCAAAAATCTGTGTTGCATTGGCAGGGGGTCCCAGCTGGAATCATAAAGTAGTAAGAGTAACAGGAGGTTTTCTGTCAGCACACTCCTATAAAAATATTCTGGTATTACAGGCTGCTGGTTGGGGTAAACTGGAAATATTTTCAGCTCAACAATACCAAATGGTGTTTTTTGTATTTATTTTTATAGTAAACAGAAATAGATCATCTGAAGCCTTAGAACTGGAAAAGCAATCTTACATTTGAAGTATTTTGTTAATTACAGCAGCAGCTTCATGCAACTTTTTTTATTTCAGTTGATTGATTAATATTTCAAATGTATCAGAGCCTTATAAATCAAGTAATCAATGTATTATATGAGAAGATTATGCAACCTTAAACTTCTATCATTTGCTCATGGAAACAGCGAGGCTGGACTTCCTGTTTCGGTCCAGGTTTATGCCTCAGCAAGGCGACAAAGTGCTCTTTTTGTTACTTTTTAAAAATTGTTTCGTGTCGGTCCATTTCCAAAGCAGAATTTTTTTGTTTTGACAGTATTCTTTGTTTCTGCTGGTTTGGTGCTAAAACTCGCCAGGCCAACGATTTTTATTAGTAGCATTCAGGTAACGTTTCAATGGATTTAGTTTTATTTTCATATGAATTTTTTATTTTCAGATGTTCATAGACATTTTCAATAGTCCTGATGTATTTTAAGTGCAGAAATGCAATCGAGGTACATTTGAGGTTGAAAGTTTAGCTTCTTAACAGGTTACAGCGGATGTAAAATTGGCTGATTGAAAAATCGGTCAGGAATCCTGTTTTAGCTGGACTCCTTTAAAGGCAGATATTTTGTTCACGTCACTTTGAACTGTTGTCGCCGTTTCTACAAGGTTATATGTGAACTATTATCCTCAGATTAATTTCTGCTCTTTAGAGTATTTTATGGTCACTTGTGTGTTTAGGGATACACTATCAGTTTTGATTCAAGCTGCTGAGGCTATAAATATATTTTTATAACAAAATAGCCAGTTAGTGTTCTTTATTCTGCACTTTAAACACATTTCTTTTAAGGTGGAATGTACATGATCACATTTTGAAAATTTGGAAAGGTAAAGCTAAGGCAGTTTACAAAAACCAGTTATCCCTCTATTACTGCACAACATAGTGTCGTGTACGTGTTTGGATGCGTTCCACTGTGAATCCCGTCATAAAGGAACATCGTTTGTTTTTTTATGTTTGCTGTGCCTTCCCTTCTTTTAGGTTCTCTTATACTCTGTGCTCTCTGTTCTTCCATGCCACTCTTAGAACTGCTTTAATTCTGTATTCAGTAATTTAGCTTTTTTAATATTTTTGTAAACGTACTGTTGCAGTTATTTTAAACTATATCCAACCAAATGAAATGACTTTGTGTCTTGATAATTACTTATGTACTTTTTATGTTAATTTTATTAAAAGCTTTTTGTTAATGTTTGTATTATTCTTCCTAATGTCTGCATTTTTCCTAATGCGCACGTGTGTGTGTGTGTGTGTGTGTGTGAAGAACGAAAGGACAAGGCAAGTTGTATTAATGAAGGCTGCGTTCATTTGAGAGGTTCTGCTTTTTTTTGTATTTTTACAAAACAAATTAAATTTTCAGCTGCAAGAGTGCAATGCATCCCAGAGCATTCCCAACTTTACCAAATCTAAACATCTGATCAAGGCCTGCTCGCTGTTCCTCGTTCTAGGTGTCGTACTCGTGGGGACCGGGCTTTCTCAGTCCTAGCCCCGTCACTCAGGAACCAGTTGCCACCCTCAGTCAGGCTATCCCCTGCCTGTTTATAATACATATATAATTTATTATAATCTTTATAATTTACTTTATATATCTTTTATATATATATATATATATATATATATATATATATATATATATATATATATATATAATTTATTTATAAAGGCTTGAGTTGACATTTAAAAAAGCTTAAAGCCAGGCACTAACTATAAAAATCTAAACAACACGTTCACAACACAAAAATCATCCATTTTTAAAGCTTCATTTTCAAATCAAACAATCCCAATTAACTATCTTCTGATTGCCTTAACTGTTTTTTTTCTTTATTTAATTAAAAAAAACTTTCCCTAGAAATTATAGAAAAAGGTGACACGATTGTTTGTTTAATTAAAAAAGTGGTTAAATAATCATTGTACATTAAATTTCTTAAAGTCACTCATACAAAAATAGTCTGGGCATCGTTGACATTGTGCATTCAGCAGCCTCAACAGGAAATGACGCAGGTGCAGCTTTGTTGTGTGCTACGTGTAACAAATTCCGACAAGAAACATGCAGTTAAGACCTTGGAAATTTTTAAACAATTGATTTCTCTAGATTGATTCCTTTACATGCTGCTGTTTTCTCGCGTGAGACTAAATATTAGTTATGTATTGGCAAAAAAGATTTGTTTGCGTCTACAGAACAAATTTATGTCTTTCTCTGGCAGTTTGAGAAGCTACATTAGCAACGACCAGCATCTCGGAAATCTTTCATCAGCGATTCCAGCCACAACACCCAGGCATCAACGCGGAAGACATGAAGACAAAAACTACCTCGTTCTTTAGTTAGAGAAGGTTTTTACTTGTCTCATCTTTGTAGGTATGTTTTGTTTTACTGTTGCACAGCGCACAAAGCCTCTTGGGTTTATTCTGCTGACATTTAAAGACATCTAGTGCTAATGTTAGCCTTCTTGGATAATTTGGCTAATTAAATGGTTCTATTCGTGCAGCACAGAAAATAGTTTTTAAGTCTTTTTTGGACGAGATGACAGTGTCTTTTTCAGAAAAGAAGTTTACCTTTGTATGTTTGTCTTGAGGTTTCCAACATTTGTCTCTTAAGTGTGTGTGTGTGTGTGTGTGTGTGTGTGTGTGTGTGTGTGTGTGTGTGTGTGTGTGTGTGTGTGTGCGCGCGCGCAGACATTTCTATGGATAAGCTAATATTATTAGAATATACAGTTAACAGATGAGGAGATTAACAAAAGTGCAAGCGTTTACAAATATATGAGGCTGATTGAATAATTGACATTATCAAAGATCAAACTTTAGAACTAACGTCTTACCATTAATGTCGACATTTATTTAGTTTTTAAAATTAATTAGATTCACGTTTAGAATAACATTTCATAAAATGTCAGATTGTGTGAAGGATTTCATATTTTCTAACGCAGCAAAAGTTCTTATTATGCTGTTTTATTGTTATTGTCATGGGATTTCTGATTTATCAATAAACAACATAAATAAATATTTTTACAACCTTTTAAATAAATGTTAAATATCCAGAGCTGTGCATATAAACCGCTCTGTTCAAGCCACTAAGAGCAGTGACCCTCTGTTTAAATTATACCTAAATATTATCCCCTGATTTTGGATTATAGCATCAAAACATTTGTATACTAAGTGCTAAATAGGAACAATTATATTCATGTTTAACAGTAGTTAAGTGGTGATGTATGTTTAAACATTGTAGGTGTTAACAGTAGAAGTTTGATGAGATCTCAGATTATTTTTATCTGTGATTTTTTCCAGGTCTTTCATCTAGATGAAATGAATTTTTTGCGTAATCGTATTGTAGTTTTGGGCCTAGTGTTGTTGGCCACGCTGCTCCTGTACCTGCTGCTGCCATCCATTCGCCAGGGTAGCATGGAACCATCCATTAAAGTCCAAAGAATGGGGCTGTTGGCCACCGCTCCCCCCGGACCCACAGCGATCAATGTGTCCATTCGCACCGGGCAGCTACCTGGGGACCCGCCACTGTTTTTTAGAGAAGCTCTACCAGTGGATCGAGCTGGACAGCAGATCTTACCAAGGTGTGCTGAATAGTGACATGTTTTTGCTTGAGTGTTTTTAATTGTCCATTACTGTACACACAAACCCAGGCAAAGCTAGCATTTGATTAGGATCTGTGAGTTATAAAACACTGACAGTGTCTTAAAACTGGTGTGTGTTTTTTAAGGCTGCAAGTGGTCCTTCTGCACGGCCAAGCCTTCACCTCCAAAACATGGGAGCAACTGGGAACCATGGCGCTGCTAGCAACTAATGGATACCAGGCCTTAGCAATGGATTTACCAGGTAAACTTAGATTCTTACCAACTCTGGGTCAGTGCTGATAACATGGAAATGTTCAAATGCTCAAACTATTAAAACAATGGAATTTATGCAAAACATTAAACTCAAACACTTAATTCATAAGTCAAAGTTTAGCTTCAGTAAAAACTGAAAAATATATATTTTTATATTGTAGATTAACTTTGATATGTAGACTGGTACAGTTGTATTAATATAAACACAAAATAGTTTAATTACTTTATATTTTTAGAAAAACCAAGGACTGGTTTAAAAGTCTGTTTGATGAGATGAGATGAGCCTGCCCTCTTGTGGCAGAAAATAATCATACCTACTAAATCCTAATTTTGCCATATGAGAAACAATTTAGCCAGTTGTTTGCTGTGTTTTCAAACTGAAGCATGCTCATGTTTTGTGAAAAATTACCTTTTTTGCTTAATTTTCTATTTAAAGGTTATGGAAAATCTCCCGACTCAGAGACTCTGAAGACTGACCAGAGTCGGGTGGACCTCCTTTCAAGGTTCCTTGAGTCTTTGGGGGTCAGAGCAGCTGTTCTTCTGAGTCCCTCGATGAGTGGCCATTACTCCATCCCCTTTCTGATGCAGAACAGTGCACAGCTTCGTGGCTTCATTCCCATAGCACCAGTCGGCACCAGGAGTTACTCTCCTCAGCAGTACAAAAATATCCAGGTGAGAAATTAGGGGGTACAGCCATCCGCCACGACCCACTGTAGATTATTACACACACACACACACACACACACACACACACACACACACACACACACACACACACACACACACACACACACACACACACACACACACACACACACACACACACACACACACACACACACACACACACACACACACGGTTTAACAGTTCTGAAAGGAGCACAAAATGTATAAATGTAATCAGTAGATTTTCATGTCAGGTGTTAATGTGTGTTGCGTCGTCTAATCTCCCTCTTCCTCCCCTACTTCTCTTTTGTCTCCTTGTAAGACTCCCACTCTGATTGTGTTTGGAGCTCTGGACACAAATCTGGGCGCCCAGTCCCACAAGAACCTTATGCAGCTTCCTAACCATGAAGTGCTAAAATTAGAAGGAGCTCGCCACGCCTGCTACATGGACAAAACTCGTGAATTTCACCAAGGATTGATCCCATTCCTGAACAAGCTTAAGAAGGATGTGTAGCGAAGAAAGAGAAGGTGGTAAAGGGGAGAAAAAAAAAACAAATATAAAAAAGGGGAGCATCAAATATGGTTTAATATTTCAGTGTTATTGTCATGTCATCACTCCCAAAAAAATCAAATGAGATTTAAGGGATACACGTGATGGTATGGTAATCCAGATGTTGATGTTATGAATGTTTCGAGTTTAATGTTTAAGGATCTCACCTAAAAATATGAACTTAGATCAGCTAAGCTTCTCAGAAGATAAAAATAAGCTACATGTACAGCGATGAGTTTTGTTTCTGGTGTTTTTTGTCTCTTGTTGTATTGAAGACATTGAATGTAATTTGTCATTTCCATTTTATATGATGGCCTACCTGTAAATATGTATAAATCTGTTGCTGTTGTTTGTATTTTCAGTATTCTGTTGGTTTTACACGATAACTAACAACTGCTGCTTCCAACTAACATATGGCGTGCTGAGGCAAAGCGAGCTTAAATTATGCATATTACACAAAAAACATGTTTAAGAAGGGTTGGAACAGGTTAAAAAAAGACAATAATTTGTCTCAATTTTTGTTACAAGAAAATCTGCAATAGGTTTGGACAATCATGCAAAAATATAAAGCTTGAAACTTATTAAAGTCTAGAAACCTGAGCTAATGTGTTTGAGAATTGTGCTGAATTTATCAGACATGTTAACACACTGCATGTTTTTTATGTTTGACTTTAACTGGCTGTTCTTAGAACAAATGCATTTGATCTAACTACTGATGAGTGCATTATAGAGAGAGGTGGGTCAGGGATAATTAAGTTCTGAAGAACATTTAATATCCAGAAATAGGTTTTTCTTTGGTTCTGATGTGACTTGGCACCTTTATTTTTAGGCAACGTTTTGAAAATGGATTTGACATGAGGTTAATGATAAGTGAAATACTAAACTGGAGCAGGTCCAATTGATATTCACTGTTGTAAAGTTGGATGAGCTGCATTTTTGTTTTGTTTTCTTACCAGTTTTTGTGTTTATTGCAGTGAATAAGCTGAAATTGATGTCAGTACACTAAAGTAGCCAATAAACTACTGTGATACTTATTTTCCAATTGATCTGATTTATGCTTGAATAGTGCATGTTAATGATCCAATACCTGTGTAAAAACATCCAGTTACTATGTAGAAAAATTGAAATAAATTCTGACATGATTATAAAGGCTTAGCAGCACAATTCAGCTGGTTTACAAACAAAAGGACACAGATACATATGAATTACAGGAGTTAGTAAAACACTGCCACGTTCTTAACCCCACTCAGAAATGTAGAGTATAATTCATAATAGTAGTAATTTATTTTAAACATATTCACTTACATGATATTTAAGTCACGATTACTTCATACAGTCCATTTGATTAAAAAAGGAGTAAGCGGAAGTAAAAATGTGTTTATGCCTACCTCTTAGATATATAAATTACTAAAGTTATGTATTTTTTCAATTTACGAAAGAAACAAAAAAGGGAAATCCCCAAAATGTCTTTCAACAACAACAACAACAAAAAAGCCACAATAAGGCAAGGCAGCTTTATTCATATAGCTTGTTTTTCACACGGAGGCGTACAAATACTGTTTCATTTTTTCAATTTGTAATGGAAAAAATACAATTAAACATTATATAAATGAACTGCAAAAACGTGTAATTCTGGTGGCGCTAGGAGTCCGCAATTAGAAAGAACTTAAAATAAAGTTTTTCCTAACTATTATATGATGTTTTGGCATGCTAGACCGGCTACAGCACTAGCTGCGAAATGGTACTGTCCAAACTCGGGGTTCGTGTGTTCTTTGAACTGTATTGGCATGAATTTTAGAAATATGTCGATTACAGTTAGTTACATTCATAATTTAATTTATATGTTTTATTAGAAAAACAAAATAATTTGTAGTTATTTGTCTTTTTGAGGACACCAATTGGGAACAACAACCCCTCCAAAACCCCATGTTTGAGCTCTTCCAGCTGGTTGACTGTCTTCGGCAGGTACGGTCCGGATTTAAATCACAACTCATTATTGAGTTGAAGAAAGTAATACTTGTTGTCTGAAGTCGTGTATTAGCTGTACTGCTGACTACCGCCAGCCTCAGCTAGGTAAGCAGCACTTTACATGCGGCTGTAGCTTCCTCTTCGGTCTCCGGACACCTGAAACAAAGCTAGCCAGCTGTTAGCTGAATGGTGCAGAAGGTAGGGTACGGTCCAGCTGGAACCGGTTCGGCGCTTTCACGCTCTGCATGAATAACAAGACATCACTGTAAATGTCTATTATACGTTTCTGATACGCTTTAATGTTGATGTCATGTATTTTGTTGGATGTCATTAGAGGAGTAATAAAGTAAGCTTAGCACACCATGCTGCCTGACAAAGATGGTCCAGGTGGTGGAGGAGGACAGAGCTACCCTGAGGGAGAGCACCCTTCTGTGAGTCTGTTCAGGGACTACCTGCGCCTAAGGACGGTCCACCCTGAGCCTGATTATGGTGAGAAGATCTGTCACTAATTAATTCACACATTTGTTCTTAGTGATGCTATAAGATAATGGAGGCTTTCTTAGACTGATTTTATAATTGACAAAACTACTTAATATACAACAAGTTGTGACTTCTAAACGTGGTCAGCCACATGTGTAAAACGCGCGTGAAATTAATCTCCTATTGTTTTTTATGCTCTTTAACCAAAGTCCAGCTCTTACCTAACTACGTTACACATTAATCAAGTGTGGTCATTCGTGATGAAGCTATAAAAGGTCACATTGTGTCATCTGTAGTGAAAGTAATGGCTCTACTATTTTTAGTACTTATAGTATTGAAATTCTACTTCTACTAGAAGACAAAACCTCTCAGTTCATTGCATGAGTCCTTTTTTAGATATTTACCAATGATCTGTATTTTAGAAATACAAGTTTTTGAAATTACTTAAAATGCATTTAATGTCATTTGAACAAACTATTAGATTTGTGCAGTAGTAGTAGGTGAACCATATTCACTGACATGGCGATTTAATCATTGTTACATCATACAACCATTAATTCCTTGGTAAAAGGAGTACGTAGAAGTATGAAGTTATTTAGCCCTAGGTCTTACATGTAAGTTATATTTTATACTAAAGCCAAATAGTTTGTTCACTTTAAAAAAGCAAAAACAATCCAAAAAAATGTTTAAAAAACATCAAACTATCTTTTAAAGTGACAATGTGTAGTTTTTACCATGAATCTCTGCAAATACCCATTGAATTGTTGTTGTAAGTGAATTAAAAGATGCTAAGTTGTTTAAAAATATTGGCGGTTTGATAACATAACCATAAAAATCAGGTCTAAAATACCTGGAAGCGGGTCTAAATCTCTGGGCGACACCATATTGCATGGATGCCGTGTTTCCTTCTACGGAAGCCTGTGAGGACAGAATGGATTTACTTATTTATAACAAACGGTGACAAAACTTTCAGAATTAGTACACGTTGTTCTTTTACACATTTACCTCTACACTCGTTGCAAGTGATGAAAGGGAATCTGATGTTCTTGTTATTTTGCTGGAGGTTGCACTCCCAAGGATTTTTGACCCTAATGGCCATCCGTTTGTAAGGTCTTAACTTGGAACACAAAAATAATGCTTGCTTGCAGTGATTTAGGTATCTACTGCCCCCTATTGCCAGGGAAAAAACACACTGTCACTTTAAATAGTATCTTTGTCTACATTTTATTTTTTTGTATTTTATTTTAAACTAATTAATGTTTTTACTTTCCTTTCATCACTTAGATTCGTCCATATGTATTTTAACACTGCTGTTGAGATACTTTTTACATTTGTTCTAGCACTATTTATTTTAATATTTAGCCTCCCTCTTAGATTGTTTATACAGACGTACTAAAGAAAGTGTTCCTGGTATTGAGCCTCTAAAAGCGATAAAAGCAATCTTTTCCATTACTGTACCAAAGTTCAACAACACAACCAGAACTAACAAGCATAATGAGCCATGAGCAACATAGTTATTAATATTTAAACCAAGCTGCTCTGCTGTGTGCTTATTCATTTGTAGATGCAGCTCTCAGGTTTCTGGACAGAATTGCGGAGGAGCTTGACCTCCCAATAAAGAAGATTGAGGTGATTTTTTTTCCACAAAAGCAGCAGTTTTCTTATACATGCTTCAAGGCGGTGACCAGAAATGCAACATCTGTGCTTTTTTTTTTTAATTTCCTTTAGGTTTGCCCTGGTAGAGTTGTGTCAATCATGACATGGGAAGGAACAAAACCCTCGTTAAAATCTGTCTTACTGAATTCCCACACAGATGTTGTACCTGTTTATCAGGTATGACCCAGGTCGCTTAGTTGTGTGTTAGAATCCTTTTATCACCTTTAATAAATAAGCTCTAATTTTCTTGTCCAGGAACATTGGAAATATGATGCCTTCAGTGCCTTTAAAGATGCAGAGGGCAATATTTATGGCCGGGGATCACAGGACATGAAATGTGTAACTATACAGTGAGTATCAGAGGTGGTTTTTGCTCATGTTGTGATTTTCAATTGTGGTTCTGTTCAGTAGGAACCACCTCACACAACATTTTGGTTTGTTCTGTGTGTGTAGGTACATTGAGGCAGTCAGAAGACTGAAGGCAGAGGGATGGAAACCGACACGGACTTTGCATTTAATGTATGTTCCTGGTAAGATTCTCCTCCGCTTTGGCATCACAAGAATCATATCTGTTGTTGGTGGGAGTTGAAGCTGAAGTTGCTCTGCTCCATCAGCGAGGGATACATGTGAAATGATTACAGGTTTTTGGTTAAATGTGGGCTACGTAGTTTTAAATTTTTACTCCAAAATGTTTCAGTGTGACTATCTGACCCTGTTCTGTGGCGTAAAGTAGGTAATCCTAATAATTGCCCCACCCCTCTGCCTTAACAGCTAAACAAATAATTTATGTGTGCCTGGAGTGCTGACCAATAGAGTTGCATATCTACAAGATGGAGCTGCCAATCTATGAGAACGTTCCCGGAATGCACTACAGAGTAGCGCACCAAACTGTCCTGAATGCTAACTCAACCTGCATTCAATTAATGTCAGTATGTAAACTTCTGACGAACTGTGGAAGAAGGAGGAGAACAAAAATGAATTCATCTTTTGTGTATTGGAGCTAAGTGATGAGTGTAGCATTCAACCTTACACTACTCTGGATTATTGTTTTTAGCCTGTTGTTGCATTAGCTGGGGTGTGTTAGCATCACGAGTGCCAGTTTCTTGCTGGTTTTAGATGTTTACCTGCTTGAACATTGCAGATTGGATTAATAGAAGTGAATAGCAGCTCCTGCAGAACAAGATGAAGACTTGGGTGATAATTCAGCAGTTAGTATCAGGTGTGTCTGAACAGGAACATCAAAAAGATCATTTGTCACCTCTACAAGGCTATGTGGGTGTATGTGTACAAGGTGTGACTTTCAGCTCCTTGCGGGGGGTGGGGGGGTATTGCATTTCATATTTCAAAATCTCCTTCTCTCCTTGATGACGTTGTGCTACTGACCACAGCTTTAAAGTTATTATAGGGTAACCAACATAGCACAAATGAGCTGTTTCTAAAAGAATCATTTGAATTTTGACTAGTAACTGACTTTTTTTATTTTCAGATGAGGAGGTTGGAGGTCATAAAGGAATGGAAACCTTTGTGTTGCATCCAGAATTCAGAAACCTAAACATCGGCTTTTCCCTGGATGAAGGTAAATAATCAGCTGCATTAAAATGTTTAGAAAACTACAACAAAGTAATGGACTCGCATTGTTGGTTCTCAGTAGTGTTAATGTGGCGCTGTTGCTTATTATATCCACCATGAGTCCTTTCCACTGCAGTTTGTTTTGTGTTCTGAAGGTCTGGCCAATCCTGGTGAGGCTTTCACCGTGTTTTATGGAGAGAGGAACCCCTGGTGTGAGTAGAAAACAAAATGAATGAACAAAGAGGGCCTTCCTGTATGATCAGATTAAATAATAACAAAAAATGTTTTAGATTTAAACCTTGATAAAGTTGACCCTTAGTGTAAATAAGGTGCCGTCTGCATTCTTAGGGATAACTGTCCACTGTCCAGGAAGTCCAGGACATGGCTCCAGGTTTGTGGAGAATACAGCTGCTGAGAAACTGGTGAGCATCGGTTACTAACACTGAGTTTTTGGTACTTTTGACGAACAAATCATGATTATGTTGTAACAAAACATACAATGTCAATCATGTCCCAGACAATTATTTATCTGTCTCAGAATTTTTCTTTTCTGGGTTTGTTTTTTGCAGCGACATGTGATAAATTGTTTTATGGACTTCAGAGAGAAAGAGAAACACCGGTACGCTTTTATGCATCATTTTATCTGCAAAAGATTCAGTGATTTTTTGAGGTCCCGTATCTATAACATAACTTTGATCCTTGGTTTGCAAGCTTTATGGCTTGATCCTTTACATAAACCTCCATTAAGGATGTTTTTCTCGATGCTTTTTAAAAAATACACCATTAATAAAAACAAATGAGATCTACCTGCAGTTTATAAATTGACATTTTTCCTGCTGTAGCTGTTCAGTAAGTGATTGCATCTGATAGACCTTTTTATGGCAGCTCGACTATGAGAACAAGGCTACCTGCATGTCTTAATACACCAGCCTTATGATAAAGTATTTATTTATGTTTAATGCTAAGAAATAGAAACAGCCTGGAACTCATGATATTTTAGTTGTAGCAAAAATGATTTTTTTTTTTTTATTGTTAACAATTCTAGAAGATCTGGATGTTGATAGTATTTGTAAATAAAGTAAACATTTAGAAATAGAATGAATTAAATGAAACCGAATCAGTTAGTGATTGTGTTCTGTTGGAGACGATCGGTCGAGTTTTAGCAATGATTTTGGAAAGTTCAATCTCTATTTTTAATGTCATTAAATACTATTAACACCACCGTGTGTGTGTGTGTGTGTGTGTGTGTGTGTGTGTGTGTGTGTGTGTGTGTGTGTGTGTGTGTGTGTGTGTGTGTGTGTGTGTGTGTGTGTGTGTGTGTGTGTGTGTGTGTGTGTGTGTGTGTGTGTGTGTGTGTGTGTGTGTACTTAAGGCTGAACACCAGTGAATGTTTTACGCTGGGGGATGTCACCACTGTGAACATGACCATGGTCAAAGGGGGAGTGGCCTACAACGTGATCCCAGCTGAGATGGACGTCAGCTTTGACCTGAGAATACCTCCTACAGTAAACCTCCAGGTGTGTGTGTGTGTGTGTTTCTGAAACGCCTCTGGTCTCTGCTCTAACCTTTATCTCGGTCTCCATCAGGAGTTTGAAAAACAGATCAAGCAGTGGTGTAAAGAAGCAGGTGAAGATGTCACCTATGACTTCGCTCAGGTCAGTTTGTAGAAAAGTGAAGGAAAAAAATAAAGCTGTTGGATTGTCAGGAGGACTAAAATAGGTTTGAACTGTTGCAGAAACACATGAACCAGAACATAACATCCACAGAGGAGAGCGACCCCTGGTGGAGCGCCTTCACAGCTGCCTGCAAGTCTCTGTGAGTGTAAAGTGTTTTTAAAATTTGACTCGGCAGATTTGGACAAAATATGAGGGAGGATGTTAAAAAATAAAAAGCCTTTTATGAGTGACAATAAAATAAAAAAGCCTGAATATATGCATAAACAAGACCAAAACTAGAAAGGTCATAGTTCAAATGGAGAGCTTTGTCATCTTTAGTTCCTCTGTTTAGTCCCTTCAAACCAGGTCTCATTCCCACATCTCTACTCTAGGAATATGACTTTAGAAAAGGAGATATTTCCTGCTGCGACTGACAGTCGTTTCATCCGAGCGGTGAGTATTTGGTTCAGCAACATTAGAGCCCTTCTTTTTAACATCTAATACAAACAATGGTGCTACAGAAATACACTAATTTCCCTCTGGGATTAATACAGTATTGATTGTGTTTGATTTCTCTCCATTTACTGTCCCCAGGTGGGTATCCCTGCAATTGGCTTTTCCCCGATGAACCGGACTCCAATTCTGCTGCACGATCACAACGAGTACCTGAACGAGCGTGTCTTCCTGAGAGGCATCAGCGTGTACGAGAGGCTCATCCCAGCTCTAACCAGTGTTTCTGCCTTACCAGGAGAGGCTTAGATCAGCTTAATCCTCAATGAAACGTATTTCACTCTTATTTCATTTCAGGAGTTTGTAGAGATTACCAAAGAATAACACATATGATATTATTAAGCCAAAGTGAGCTGTTCAGCTTTGGTGCTGTTGATTTTTCCTTTTTTTTTTTTTTTATGATTCTCAGGATTTAAACACGGTGTTGCATCACATAATGCTGCAGCAGGGTTTAGCCACATGTTCGTGTGTAAATAACATCTTACAGGTCTGTCATGCACTGTAGACACTGGAATATCAATCACCGCTGATGAGTTTTAGAGAATATTTCACTTATAGAATCATATTTATTAAATTACAAAATGAATAAAATATATTTATCCTTAAACTTGAAAGTTTTCTCTTTGATGTGAGGGTCCTGGGTGAGAACGGCTCAACAAAATTGAAAAGAAAAAGATGAAGAAAAAACTTCTAAGCTTATGTTGCAAAAGAAAAATGGGAGATTTTTTTGTTTTGTTTTAATTCACTTCCTGTTTAATTTTTGTATGGAGATTAAAACAACCTAAGATTTTAACTTGAATAATTTACTTCAACGGTAGAATTGTTAATATATCCACTAGAGCAGCATGAGTGAGATGCTTGATCACAGGTGAGTTTTAGAGGATTATTTTCACAGCTTATGCTGTAAATACACTTAACCTTCAGTCAGACATCTGTTTCAAAGATGTTGCCTCTCCATTCTGGACAACATCTGTCCTGTCAGAACCAGATCAGTTCCTGCAGTGAACCCTACTCCCTGGTTTAATGACAGCCTGAAGCGCCAATGCAGAAAAATTGAGCGTTTGTGGAAGAAAACCCATCTCCACGTCCCATCTGCTGCACCTAAAGGATCTTCTGACATCCTTTAACTCTGCAGTCAGAGATGCTAGGGTTTCCTATTTCTCCAACCTGGTGTCCCAGAGCAAAGGGACCCCCAAGGTGCTGTTTAACACCATCAGCAGCATCGTCTCTCCTACAGCCTCCATCCACTCAGTTACAGACTGTGAGAACTTTCTGTCTTTCTTTGTGGACAAAGTCAATAAGGTTAGATCTAGCATCTCTCCTTAAGCCCTATCGCTGCCTCTCCCGACTCCAACCAGGCCCATCATCCTAGATAGCTTTGCTCCTGTTTCTTTGCCTGAGTTAACCAAACTAGTTAACTCTATGAAGACGTCTGCATGCCCCCTTGACATCTTAACCTCATCTTTGTTTAAAAGTGCTTTTCTGTCCATCGGTCCCAGCGTGCTCTCTATAAGTAATGCTCCTCTGGTTTCTGGTCAGGTCCCTGCTTACTTTAGGAACTCTGTAATCCACCCGCTTCTTAAAAAACCGAGTCTCGACCCCTCTCTCCATAGCAGCTTCAGACCCATCTCTAAACTTCGGTTCATCTCCAAGATCTTGGAAAAGGTTGTGGCTAAACAACTCACAGCTGCTCTTGATGAACATAACATCTATGATAGCTTCCAGTCAGGTTTTCGTAGAGCTCATTCTACTGAAACAGCTCTTCTTAGGGTCTCTAATGACCTTCTGACTCACCGTGATGCAGGGGACTGTTCTGTTCTGGTCCTGTTGGACCTGACTGCAGCCTTTGACACTGTTGACCATCATCTGCTACTGGAGAGGCTGAGAGACTGGGTAGGCCTATCAGGATCTGCTCTGGAGTGGTTCTCCTCTTATCTTTCTGAGCGCTCCTTTTCTGTGGCCGTCTCCAAGTTTAGGTCCTCCACCACTTCCCTTACCCATGGTGTCCCACAAGGTTCTGTGCTGGGGCCTCTACTCTTCCTCCTCTATCTGCTTCCTCTTCAGCACATCCTGAGTTCCTTCAAAGGAATCTCTTACCATCTTTATGCAGATGACATCCAACTGTACATCTCCTTTAAGCCCCATGAGATGTCTAAGCTGCAGTTGTTACACTGATGCTTAGACTCTATCAAAACCTGGATGGCTGGGAGCTTTCTTCAGCTGAATGAAGATAAGACTGAGATCCTCATCTGTGCCCCAGACAAGCTGGTTCCCAAAGTCAGAGACTCTCTTGGTCAGCTTGCTTCCCACACCAAACCTTTTGTCAGGAATCTTGGTGTGGCCTTTGACCCAGCTCTCACCCGGATTCTCATGCCAGTTATCTTGTTCACTCTTCCTTCTTCCATCTCAGGAACATTGCTAAGCTGAGTCCCATTCTGTCTCGCTCTGAACTTGAGTTAGTTATCCACACCTTCATCTCCTCACGCTTAGACTACTGTAACTCTCTTTTCACGTGTCTGAGCAGAACCTCCCTGAACCGTCTACAGGTGGTTCAGAATGCCTGTGCTCGGCTTCTGACCAAGTCCTCCAAACACACCCACATCACCCCGCTTCTCCTCCAGCTTCACTGGCTGCCAGTCAACTTCAGGGTTCATTTCAAAATCCTGGTTATGGTCTATAGGACCCTACATGGACAAGCACCATCTTACATTGGTGATCTTCTTAGTCCCTACACCCCCAGCAGGTCCCTGAGGTCCAGTGATCAAAGCCTACTGGTTGTGCAGCACCAGGCTAAAGACCAAAGGTGACAGATAATTTGCTGCTGTGGCCCCCAGACTCTGGAACTCTCTCCCCCTGAGCCTGAGATCAGTGGACTCAGTGGTCTCCTTCAAAAAGCAGCTGAAGACTCACTTGTTCAAGCTGGCTTTTGTATGACCTTCTTCACCACTCTCCCTTTATTCTGCTCTCCCCACCTATTCCACCTTCCTCAGGATCCACTGATTTCCCTCTTTCCTATTCACGCTCTCTCTTTCTTTACATTTTTTTCTTTTAAATCGCAATTGCTTATTCTTGCTCATTTTAAATATATTTTTAAACATTTTCGGAATACTTTTTTATATTTTTGTTTTTGTTTTTGTGAAGTGCATCGTAATTTTTATCTTGAGAGGTGCTATAGAAATGATATTTTCTTCTTCAAAGACATGCACTAAAATTAACTTAATCAATAAAGCTATCTGTGCTTTCTTTAGTTGGTCACAAATTATACTTTAAAAGAGTTTTCTGCCTCATTTAGGAGGGTTAATAATTGATTTAGTCAGTCCATCACTGATTTAAAGCCATCAACCTAAAATGAACTTTTAACAGAATGGAGCTTGTTGTGATGTTCACAGGGCGATGTCACCATGCTTTATGTTTTAATGCCAACGTCTACCATTACACAGGCTGTCAGAGGATAAGCTGATGAGCTACAGAGCTTGCTATACTTCATCCTCGCTGTATGTCTGCATAGGGCAGAGCCTAAGCATAAGAATGCACGCTTATGAATACATTTATTTGAAATTAAAAAAGGAACGCTTAGAAAAATATTTTGATGTTACTGAGATAATTAAATCAAATAAGGCCTTATTTTTATTTATTTTATTTTATTTTTTACAAATTGTTACATTTTTAAGGCATGGTGTGTAATATTTTTACTTGTTTACCATCAAATTCTGTGCATCCTGTTCACAAATGTGTCCCTTTTTCATTTATATTTCTCACCAAGGCCTATTCTAAGTATTCCTGTTAGCTTGAAGTTTAAGTTCATATCGTTTGACTTTTTCCATGAGACATTCTTCCATCTGCTCCATATCTGCTGGTAGATATCTTCACACACTCATTTTCAGTTTTTTTTTTTTGGGGGGGGGGGGGGGGGGGGGGGGGCTGTGCTTTTGGTAAATTAAAAAGAAAGTGGCGTCCTGACCAATCACAAGCTTGCAGTTAAAAAAAATTGGGCATGTCTCCGTTAACTTCTGTGGGCCTGCCGCAGAGCCCTTGTATTGAGGCATCATGGTGATGCAGATGGAGAAGCATAAATCAGGCCTTACAGAGCAAAAAAAGTCAGTCTTCAACAGGGGTCACCGACCTTTATGCAGCTGAGAGTTACTTCATGGATCCTGTGCCTTACAAAGTGCTACCAGTGATACAATAGTGACCTTTGAACTAGGTCAGAGTTAAACTAAACTTTATGTATAATAAACATTTTAAGATAATTATAGTTTTAAATATATGTGAATTCATTTGTGATTAAAAAAGATGGCAGCTGATTTTTTTAATTTTAGACTTGTGCTATTTGGTGAAAAGCCCTCATGGTTCCTGGGGCACTGTGGTGCCTGGGCTGGTGAACCTCCCCTGTTGATTTGCCAAAAAGGAATCTAAATCCCTGAATGCCAGCATACCTGTCTGAAAAAACAATTAATAGCTAAATAATTCCGAATTCATTATTATTCTGCGTTCAAACTGGGTTATTTTCCTGACATTTACAGGAGGAAATCACATGGATAGTCTCAACCTTTTATCTTGAAACAGGTTTAATGTATTTCAAACACAGTGAGGAGTTTGATGGATGTGAACAGAATATTGAGCAGGAGAACTAAGGCATCTTGGGAATGTTGAGCTCAAGTGCAGCCTCACTGATCTTCACCCCAAAAAATGATGTCATTTTAAATTAAGAGATGAAATATTTATTATCCATTAGCATGATGAGGTTTTCGTTAGTATTCAGAAGGAGAACACATTTTTTAAACCTGATAACAAAGAATGAATCTGAGCTAAATTTTGAGTCTTTGTTCTTACTGAGAACTGAAGTATAAAATGAGATTTAAGTCATTAAAATATATTTGATTTGTAGTGTTGCTTACATTAGGTTAAGGTCAGGCTCATCTCCGGTTGAGCCCTCGTTGGAGTGGTCCAATTAACAGTGTGTGTCTCTCTCTAAGGGGGACTGTCAGGAAAGCTGTGCAGTCAGTAATTAGTCCGCTCTCTCCCCAGGACATGACAGCAGCTAACACTTTGGGCCATCGGGGAGAGGAATAAAAACCAGAGTCACATCCTTCCTCCCAGAGGGGGCAGGTGCAGCCATCCTGTGGGCAGTGGAGCGTGTGAACGGCTGAGCCTGACATTGGTGCTGTTAAAACGATTAGTCAGAAATATGCTCCCTCTCTTACTATTTTATCAGAACTTTTAATAAATGCAATTCAGCAGTAACACCTACTTATGTTCTTACTGTTGAGAATCGGTCGACGGCTGATCTGCATCCTGTTAAAAGACAAAGATTCTGATGCATGTATATTTCAGGTATTGGTTTAAAAACAAACCCGTGCAGAAATGTTACCTGATTGTGTTCACACGCCCTGCTGAGATATTTTCAGATTGATTTTTCAAACAGGTCATGCACTGACCTATGCGGCATGTGAGCAATGACGTGAAAGAGATTACCATGTAAATAAAGGATGAGAGCATCTCCAACAGGCTTTAAATGACCAGAAATACAGCTGCAGCATCAGTGTTGAGTCTCACATTTTATATGTGTTTAGTGAAGATCTGTTATACCATTAACAGATGCTGCAGTGACAAAGGAAACATCTATAAATTAAATGCTAGAGCTGAGCGGTAGCTCACTCTGTCCTCTGGTTGTAATTGCAGTGGAATCCCTGTGTGATGGACACGCAAGTCTCCCCCCGAACGATGATTATTGTAGCCTGTCAGCGATTGCCCTTCTGTTGGCGTTAAGATTAGGTCAGTGTAATGTGTTATCCTTTTCAGGATGGTATGTTAAAGCTTCTATTATTTATAGTTTCTCTGAAATACAATTGGGGGTGGGGGGTTCGAGTCAAACCTGTTGAAGAACAGATTAAGCTCATTGGCCCAGTTCTGATCCCCCTCGAATGTTCCACAGGAACCACTCCTCCCACTGTGTCCAGTGATGTTCCTGAGTTCTCTCCATGCGTCTTGAGCATTGTTCAGCCCCAGCTGTTCCTCCAGCTTATTTATGTAGCAGTTTTTTTCCCCCATCTGATCTTGTGTTTGAGCTCCTTCTGGACTTGTTTCTGCTCCTCTTTATCACCAGCAATAAAAGGTTTCTTCTTATTGTACAGCTTATTGTTGGAGAAACACCTCACTCTTCTATGTTGAGGCAGTCTTCTCCACACAGAAGTTCACATAGTCAGTGACAGTGGGTCAGGCTCTCAATGTCTTCTCCATGAGTGCTGCTTAGTGTCTCCCAGTCTGTGGATTGGAAGTAATCATTCAGTCTCTCACTAACTTCTTCAGACCAAACTTTCACAGACTTCTTCTTGCATAATGAACTTTTATTTAATGCTTATTACTGCATTAAGTAAGGTTTAGGAATAAACTTTAGTTAGCTGTTACTTAATGCTTATTCACTCCTAATATGCAACCATAGTAAATGATTACTTGAGTCGTAAAGGGTTTACTGACACATTAGCTAACATGGTAATTAATGCAGAGAAAAACATGCATGATGCTAAGTAATTGCATAATGCAATTTTTGTTTCATGCTTATTATGGCATTAAGTAAGGCTTAGAAATAATAGTTAACATCTTAGTAATGCATTAAATAATATATTTAGCAATGCTATGTATTGCATAAAAGTAGTTGTTAATACTTTTATAGTTTTTACTGCATAATAATGCACTAACGTTAATAAAGGACCCTTACTGTAGAGTGTCACCAATTATTTTTTTATTGTTTTAAATTCTTCATAATTAGATTCGTTAAAAAATCAACAGAGTGATGAGCATGAGCAGACAGGTGGAGAAGGTCCTTGATCAGGCGGACTGAGAAAGTCTGCCCTGTCTTTATAGCACAGGATGATTGGAGATGACAGACAGCTGGATCAGGAACAACTTCTTAAATAAACAAAGAAGATGAAGAAAATGAATAACAACACGAATACAGAGCAGACTGGATAATATATCAGTCTGATTTGACTCAACTTTAAAGATAATTGCATTATTATTATTATTATTATTAATAGTCATGAATTTAATTAAATGAATAGTTGTGGAGGAAGTCACTTGATGGACTTCTGAGTTTATACCCTCCAGCATCATGGATGATGGGTCTCTATGGACCCTGAAGTATGCCAAAGACTAAAGGACTGGTGTTGGTTTTATGGGTAAACATTTACAATTCTCAGCAATGGTTTTAAGAGAACCCATTAACCTCCATCAGAGACCGAGGACAGAAAGCTTAACAATCAGAGTGAACACAGTACATAAGCAAATATTAAATCTGATTTTGTTGCTATGTCTCACTTAAACACCTCTGACATCAACTTAGGAGTTGCTTTGTAACTCAAGTCAATTTGGTTTTGACAGAAATACGTAGCACTTCTTAAATGCAAAAAGTAAAGACATTGTGTTAGTTTTTTTATTTCATTGTTGTTATAATGCTTCTTATATAGTTAGAAGGCCTGATTAGACAACTTCACAGTAAAACTTGTGAGGCTCTTTCGTGGATTAAGTAACACACAAGTGACTGAGCAGGTCCTCCACAGAGGTGTGTCAAAAGAACCTTCTCCTTGTTATGAGCGTCAGATGCTTCCAGGTGTGTGACTGACACCTGGGAGGTGGGGGGTTGTCATTGCTCACTTCTTTAACTGTGTTGCTCATTCCATAGAACATACATGCAAAATCTTTAAGCACACAGTAAACAATGGCAATGCACATTTAATTTACTTTTGATATAATGTAATAGAAGCATGTATACATTTGACTGAGGACAGAACACTGGGGACACAAGGATCAAGTCTATGATGAGGAGGACGAGTTAGAACATTTTAGAGAATGTCATCTCATACCAGGGCTAAAGTAAGACCAGACTAATGGGGTTTTAGTATTTTGCTGTAAGTGGTGACAAAGAAAGCACTTAGATTCAACATGGCCAATTAGAGTGCTTTATATTAGATTCTCTAAAACCAGATGTTAAACAAAAAATTTGAACCATTCATCTGGATCGACAGGCAGATTGGTGCTATGTCCATGCTGCAGGGGCTGTGCCAGTCTGTTGTGTTGAAGAGAGAGCTGAGCAGGAAGGTGAAACTCTCCATTTACTCATCAATCTACGTTCCAGCCCTCACCTATGGTCACGAGCTTTGGGTAGTGACCGAAAGAACGAGATTGCGGATACAAGCGTCTGAAATGAGTTTCCTCCATCGGGTGTCTGGGCTGTCTCTTAGAGATAGGGTGAGAAGCTCGGTCATCCAGGAGGGGCTTGGATTAGACCCGCTGCTTCTCCGCATCAAGAGGAGCCAGTTGAGGTTGCTCTGGTTAGGATGCCTCCCGAACACCTTCCTGGTGAGGTTTTCCAGGCACGTCCAACCGGGAGGAGGCCTAAAGGAAAACCCCGGACATGCAGGATGTTTCTCAGCTGTAGGGAACACCTTGGGATTTCTCCAGAGGAGCTGGCTCCAGTGACTGGGGAGAGGGAAGCCTGGGCCTCTCTGCTAAGGCAGGGTGGATGGATTTGTGCACTTAATGACAGAATCATAAAAAAGAAAGAAGTAACTGAATCACAAATTGAACAAATTATACTGAAACTTAAGTTCCTCGGACTCAGTCTATTTCCATCACAAAACCTTTATTTGATCTTCTGTTGGTTAGAGAACGCGTTTGTGCCATAAAAGAAACAAACAAAAAATATGATGCTGATAATTCTCAAGTGGCTCTGCTGAGATAAATAAAGCCAAACTAGATGCTGCTTCTGCTCCTCTGTTGCCTGGTGAGCGTGGACGCGCTTGGCTGAGAGAAGCAGAGGGAGCTGTCGTGAACGCGCCAGCCTGTATGAACGTGGTACTGTGCGCGTGTGTGTGTGTGAGAGAGAGGGAGAGAGAGGGGGGGAGGCTCTGCAGTGTCTTGGCAGCTGCAGTGCATCTCCCTCCGTCTGCGATGCTTCCGCGGCCGATCCCTGCCTCCTCTTCCTCCGCCTTCACCTGCCAGCTCTAACCGAGATGAAGTCGAACTGAACCTGCACGTTCACACTTGCTCGCTGCAGCCTCTGGAGACACTCACATTTGCTCAAAAAGGAGGAAATTATTAAAAAAGAGAGAAGAAGAACAGGAAAAAATCAACAGACTAGATTTTTTTAATGGAAAATGGCGATACGGAAAAGATCTCGCAGCATCTTCTGCTTAGTATCGCTCCAAATTATTCTGATTTTCAGCGTATCGTGGCCTGGAGCGCTGGGTCTCACATTCCCACAGCAATACACGTAAGTAATAGTGACCAAAAACGCAGCCGGGTTCCGATGGGAGACAACTTTGGGTCTGACCATTGCAGCTGCTTAGCTACTTCTCTCATCCTGCATTTTCTTCCTCTATCTTCTTGCTGTTGTTACATAATTCTCCACGGTTGGTGATTACATCCATGCAAACGCAGTGCATGTGGAGATCAGGGAAGGTGCTGTCTACACTGTGGCTCAGCATCCATCTGAGATTTACGCATCATTTGCAGCGACATGAGCGCAATCAGACGTCCGACCTCCTGAAAGTCTGTTCATTAAGTTTTAAATCAAGAAAAAAAATCATTACATCTGGTCAGTTTACGATTAATAGCAGAGACATCAAATTTCATTTTCATAAAGATGCTGAGTTTTAATGAAACACTCATGACTCATTTTTCTGTTAAATTAAAGAGCTGTCTTTTTAAATTTACACTTTCAGTGTTAATTTGGCCACATTCTGTTTGTGCATTTTAAAAGCAGAACAGTGCGTAAATGATTTAGTGAAACTCTTCTTTTAAATCCGGTTTTTGTGAATCTTGTTGGGATTAAAGTTGCATTTAAACAGAAGAAGGAAGAAGTGGTTTACACACTTCCTTCCTGCTGAAAGCTGATTGAAATATTCATGATTTAATTGGTCTTATGTCTCAACGTTTACAGGGACCATTTGGCCATCTTTGGGTTTGTTTTTATATGTAAACATTATGAATAAATACACTTGTACCATTATATGGTTTTTGAAATGGCCTAAGTTTGGAGAAACAGGGTTTGCATCCGTCTGATGAGCTAGTCCAAACACAGCTAAGGCCAAAGCTGTATCCTGCAATAAATCTCACACGGCACACTTTATTCACACGTAATTCTAAGTTCATTTACAGGAGTAATTAGGGCTGTACCACACCATCCCCAATGATTTTAATATATATTTAAATATTTTATGTGATACAAAGTGTCCTTTTGGGGAATAAACTCTAGGTCACCTCGATGCATGCTCATTTAGGTAAAGGCGTTGTTACACATTGGATTTAGCAGATAGATTCAAAATTACATCATAAAAACTAAAAGATGAAAATACTACTTGCAAGCTGCCATCACAAAAAATGGTTTTAGTTTTTACTGTATTGTCATAAATAGCACCACTGGTGGAGCTAAAAGGTTGAAACAACATACTTCACTAGCCGTTAGCTCATCAATCTTGCTGGATGGAAATGTTTTCCAACTGGATGTTGTTCACAGAGATATTTAAAACAGGGGTGTTAGTGAAAATTGAATGTTTTTACACAGGAACACATTTCAAAAGGGTTGAAATGTCCATCTACCCCATGTGGCTGGCGTTTCAGCAGTGATCTAGGCCCTTCTCCACGCTGCTCTGGAGAGAGGAACTGGCCAGATGGTCATCTCATCTTCAGGGCACACAGTGGAAGCCCTCTGGCCAATCACAACTGGGGATCATGGGTGTATTTACCAATTAGAAACAGGGTCTGTAAATCATGTGTGTGTGTGTGTGTGTGTGTGTGTGTGTGTGTGTGTGTGTGTGTGTGTTATGATGAATGAGGTTATTTGAAATAGATAGTTGCTGCTTTCTCCTCCTCCTCCTCTGCTGGTTTTTCTGCTGAGTGCTCTGAAACAGCTTCATGGTCCTGCCCAGGGTGTCTTCATGTAAGCTAAATGAAGCAGAATCGCTACTCTGAAGAGAGCTACTTCTTTCTGTCCCTGTTTCTAGGCACGGCGTGCAAAGACAAATAAGTATGACTAATCAGATCATATTCAAACTTCTGTAAAGAGAACAAAAATATAAAACAGATTTGAAAAATACGTAATGAACACATTTGAAATTATTCTAACCTGATCATTAATCAAACCAACTAAAGCATAAATGGAAGTAAATTTAAAAATAGACTAATAGAAATAACGAGCTTATTTCGTAAACCAATAAACACAGTGGTGCAATTGAAAATGGTCCAATTAAGTGGCTTGGTTGCAAAAGCTAAGCTATGGATGATTTTTTATTGCTGGGCTTATTTGTTTGCTAACACTACCTTAAAATTCTCTTCCTGCCAGCTTCAAATGATGCAAAGTAAATAAATCCCTTTGTTTGCTTCCAGAAATAAGTGACAGCCACGTGGAAGCTCACGCTTCTTTACATTCAAACAAAATGAAACTGAAATCTTGAACAAATCGAGAATTTTCACACTAACATTGCATTTGGCTCCAAAACAAGCCGGGTTGGTGATTTTAGTGGAATCGGTTTTCCACAATTAGCATATATTTGACCAATTTTGATCATAAATGTAATTGATTAAAAGAAATCCCTGTAGTATGTGACTTTCCAGGCAAAATTGATTTAATTTACTAATAAACCAGGATTTAATACAAATAAAAAACAACCATAAACCAAGACTGAAGAACTCTGCCGTTCTTTGTGAGATATTATTATGTGGTGAACCACTGAGCTGTACTCTTGTTGGACTTCACACATAAAATCAGTTGTTTTATCCCCAGATATATTCCGAGCTCAGTGGAGTTCATTCATACATTATTCATGGAATGTTGTTTATTTATGATTTTTTTTATAGCATTTTACTTTGAAAAACATTGCTGGTGGTTATATTTATCTGTTTATTTATTTATTTATTTATTCTTCTGGTGTTCACAGAGTGGAAAAGAAAGCCAACTTTTTGTATTCTTAAGGTTTTAAAGTTTAGGTTGAGTACAAACAAACACATAAATATGCCCAGGGTTTCCCCCAGAACATGAGTTAAGCCTGGCGCTCCTCCGTGAGAGGGGTGGAGGGTGGGGTGTGTGTGTGTGTGTGTGTGTGTGTGGGGGGGGGGGGGGGGGGCTTCCTTTGATGTTTACATCGATAAACAATGTCACTTTCAGAAGTGCGCATGTCCAATCCCGTCCGCAGCGACAGGTTGGTAATAAGAATATTGTGGCATTAACAGAGGGGTGCCGGCGGTCAGGGCTAGGGGGCCCCCCAACACAAGGGGGCCCCAGGTGGCCGTCGACCTGTGCCTAATGGTAAAACCGCCACTGTTTCTCACCAGTATCAGCTGACGGAGGTCACTAGTTTCGTTGTGCCGTTTGTGTCAGCGGACACAGAAGGGTTGGGAAGGGGGGGGCATGGCATGACACTTAGCCTGGCGGGTGGGCAAGCAAAGCCTGGCGGGCCGCCAGGCTTATAAAGCGCTGGGGGAAACCCTGATGCACATACTTCTTATGTTTAAACATACACATAAAATAAACTAACAACTTTCTTAATGTAAAAAACAAAAACCAGAACTTACTATTTTAGGGCCCTAAGAAGGATTAGTAGCCTCAGGGGTTATTGTAAGTGGTTTGTAAGCGTTTGAAAGCTCAGTTTGACGTTATGTTAAATACAATTAAAAAAAAACCCCACCAAAACAAGCTCATTCACACAGACTAAAAGGTCATAATAATGTCATTTTCTGATAAACTGAGTTAAAATCAGGGTAAATGACTAATTTGACTGTAAATCAACATGAACTTATTACAATGATGCAAAGCTCATTATGCAAATTGCTGAGTAATAAATACAGCCTAATGCACAGACGGCTTAATAGTGCTTACTTTTTCAGGTTATTCTTCCTTTGAGCCAGCCACTGAGCTCTCCTCAATAGACTCTTCTATCTTCAAGACAATATCAATGAGATTTTACTGCTATGAGACACGTCAATAAAACACATTTACTGTGTAACGTTAAACAGGATAATTATAAAATGGACTGACTGATTTATTTTCTTTTTCTTTTCATTATGTTTATGAGCCCTATGCAGTCTTCTCTCTTCTTATTGATAGTTACTGATTCTAGACCCACATAAAGTCTCTTTAATGTCTTAAATGGATGAAAGAGGAAGAAAACCGAGTCACTAATCCACCTGAGCTTTATGTCTTGATTATACAGGTGCTGGCCAGTAAATTAGAATATCATCAAAAGGTTGAAAATATTTCAGTAATTCCATTCAAAACGTGAAACTTGTACATTATATTCATGCAATGCACACAGACCAATGTATTTCCAATGTTCATTACATTTAAATTTGATATTCATAAGTGACAACTAATGAAAACTCCAAATTTGGTATCTCAAAAAATTAGAATATTCTGAAAAGGCTGAATATAGAAGACACCTGCTGCCACTCTAATCAGCTGATTTACTCAAAACACCTGCAAAGGCCTTTAAAAGGTCCCTCAGTCTTGTTTTGAAGGCACCACAATCATGGGGAAGACTTCTGACTTAACAGCTGTCCAAAAGACAATCATTGACACCTTGCACAAGGAGGGCAAGACACAAAAGGTGATTGCTAAAGAAGCTGGCTGTTCGCAGAGCTCTGTGTCCAAGCACATTAACAGACAGGCGAAGGGACGGAAAAAATGTGGTAGAAAAAAGTGTACAAGCTCTAGGGATAACCGCACCCTGCAGAGAATTGTGACGACAAACCCATTCAAAAATGTGGGGGAGATCCACAAAGAGTGGACTGCAGCTGGAGTCAGCGCTTCAAGAACCACCACGAGGAGACTCATGAAAGACATGGGATTCAGGTGTCGCATTCCGTGTGTCAAGCCACTCTTGAACAAGAAACAGCGCAAGAAGCGTCTCGCCTGGGCCAAGGACAAAAAGGACTGGACTGATGCTGAGTGGTCCAAAGTTATGTTTTCTGATGAAAGCAAGTTCTGCATTTCCTTTGGAAATCAAGGACCCAGAGTCTGGAGGAAGAGCGGAGAAGCACAGAATCCACGTTGCATGAGGTCCAGTGTAAAGTTTCCACCGTCAGTGATGGTGTGGGGTGCCATGTCATCTGCCGGTGTTGGCCCACTCTGTTTCCTGAGGTCCAGGGTCAATGCAGCCGTCTACCAGGAAGTTTTAGAGCACTTCATGCTTCCTCCTGCTGACCAACTTTATGGGGATGCAGACTTCACCTTTCAACAGGACTTGGCACCTGCACACAGTGCCAAAACCACCAGCA